TTTTAAAGTTTTTCTGGATTCCAACTGAATCACCTGAAAGAAATTTGGTTGGAAATGAATGTTTACAGCCATTAGTTCACGTCTTGATAAGGTCGTTGCACCCTGGGGAGATCTCACAATTTTTGCATTCATTTTGAAAGCAATTTTGTCTTCTTCTAGGTTGTTTCATTAAAAAAAATTCATTTTCAGTCATCCATGTCCATTTACCTATCTGGCTATGTTTTCACAAAGTCCACGAATATTTCTAGTCCCTTAGAGAGGAAGACAGGATTGACAGTTTACAGAAACATTGCCAAAAAAACAGGGCAGGTGTAATGAACTGAAAATAGATTAGGACATGAAATTTAAGAAAAGTCAAAAATCTGAAAGAGGACTACAAAAATGGAAAAATATAACACAATTGCGTAAAGAATGATTTTATAAAGTCCCCAAATCCTGTCACCAGCTTGCTACATGGGGCAAGTTTAACCTCTTTACGCCCCATTTCCATGTCTGAAAGGTAGGGGCTAATGATGGAACCCCCCCTTATGAATGATTAAGAGGATTAAATAAAGTTCACATCAAAGCCTTGAGCCCAGCACCAGGCAGGCCACTGGGTGACAGAGTGAGACTGTCTCAAAACACAAAATAAAATGAATGTTTACTGCTGTTATTATTACTGCCTCCATAGTGCATAATAATTACTAATTACAATTAAAAAAAAAAAACCAGTGACCGGATGTATTGTCAACCTTTTGGATCATTTCACCTGGGTCATGTTGGCGGTATGGCTGGCTGCCTGGTGGTTTAGAAGGTGATTTGGCTACTGGACTGGTATCAGGAAACGGAAGATAGTTGCAGGGTTGAGGAGGCTCAGAGGCTTCACTTTGAGGGAGCGTTAGATCTTGGTGTCCCCAAGTTCTGAATTATTCATTTGGTCACTCAACAAACATATTGATTTCTCAGCATCCACGAATAAGTCAAGGATGTGGGGAGGCGGCACCCGGGGTGGGGAGAGGTTAGCCTAAAAGGTCTCTAAGCTCACATCCAACCCTCAGGGAGGAGACCTAGAGGCTGAAAGTCACTTGACAGATATTTGGGCAAAGTCAGGGCTTGGACCTACTATGTGCCCTCCCTTCCACTGCTGAGCAATTCTCTTAGCACCTGTGATCACGGGCCAGGGTAGGAAGGGCTTGGGTTCCAACAGCGTAGTAGTCACTTTCATCTGGGAAATAATGGCAGGCAAGCCTGGCGTTGACAGACTCGGGACATTTGGACACCTATGGAGAAAGGGCCGTCCAGGTGGTGGGCGTGGTACAGAGAACAAGAGGTGGATCTGGGAAACATCAAACACTGTTTCTTGTATCATAGACTTTCCCTCCCAACCCAGAAGGGCTTCCTAGAGGAGGAGGAATTTCGGGCTGACACTAGGACCTGGGTTTGTTGAAGCAGTGTAGCGATTCTTTAGTTTTACCAGACAGCATATATTTCTACTCCTGGCTGTCTGTCCTCTCCCTATGCACGCTTATTGGAAGGTAGCACCTTTCATGACTCACGTGATAAAGAGTTTTTAGAAATGTAGCTCAAGGTAGGAAGGACGTAGACACTCTTGTAGTATAATTGGATATGAAAACTATGCAGGTGGGTGATTTTGCCTAGGAGACGGTTCTATGTGAGTTTTAGACATCTTGCCAGAAGCCAGACCATGATGAGGGTCCCATCTCCGTTCCCTTGTCCTTATGAACAAAGGCCCTTGCTTCCCCATATTTTTTCTCATTCTGAAGCAGAGTCAGAAAGAGCCAGAAATGACTGAGTCTCCAGGTGGGAGGCTGGAGGCAAGCAGAAGAGGGGCTTGGGGGAGAGGCAAAAGGAAGGCGGAGAGCGGAGGGAAGCGCCGGCCCGAGGTAGAGTCCTTTCTTTTATTTGTGTAGACTTAGGTTAGTCACTGAGAGAGCCATTTCTTTTTTTCTTTGTTTGTTTGTTTTTTTTTTTTGAAACAGAATCTTCCTCTGTTGCCAGGCTGGAGTGCAGTGACATGATCTCAGCTTACTGCAACCTTTACCTCCCAGGTTCAAATGATTCTCCTGCCTCAGCCTCCCAGGTAGCTGGGACTACATATGCCCGCCACCACGCCCGGCTGATTTTTGTATTTTTAGTAGAGATAGGGTTTTGCCATGTTGGCCAGGCTGGTCTTGAACTCCTCAAGTCATCCACCTGTCTCAGCCTCTCTAAGTGTTGGGATTACAGGGGTGAGCCACCGTGCCCAGTGAGAGTCCTTTCCTGACCACTTGGTTTGGCCCTGAGTGGACACTTGGAATTCAGGCTACAGGTTGGGGAAACATCACCTGCCAGGTGAGTGCCTATTCTGTCCAGGAAACAGGCCACAGCCCCCAGGTGTTGGGGATACAGCGAGGACAGACTGGGTGTCTCCTGCCCTCAGAGCCCTTGTCTGGTGGGAGACACGCATATGCAGAGATGTGGGGACATGGGAGAAGAGGCAGGACTGGCTCGGGGAGCTTTAGACCATGGCCAAGCTAGACCATTGCACTCTCTCCTCCTGAAGAATGGTCCCCTTCCTTCCGCTACTGTTCTCTGGGGTATCTCTCTGGTGTTTGGGAGCCCATCTATCAGTAGCCTCAGTGACCCCAGGGACAGGCCCCAGAGCAGCAGAGGAGAGAGGGAGGGACCAGGGGGTTGGGGGCAAGTCTGGTGTAAAGGTAGGGAGATGAGAACGTTTTGGCTGGAGGAGCTGGAGAAGTCCAGGCTGCCCATTCAGAGGGGAAAGCCGAGGCCCTCAGAGAGCAAGAGATTAGAATATGAGCACCAGGGAATAGAATATGAGCACCAAGGAGGAAAAACCTGGGTGGCAGGGGCCCAGAAGAGAAGGCAGATTCCCTTTCCCACATCCCGAGGCAGGAAGTCCAGGTTCCAACATCACATTTGGGGCAGGCACCTCTCCTGTCTTCTAAGGGGTGGAACAAGTGTGGCTTCTGGTCTGCTAGACATGCTCGCAAGGCACATTTGAAGATTTGCTGCTTCAGGGGGAGAGGTGGGCCAGGGGGAGGTGTGGGCTGGGGAACCTGGAGGGTGAGAGGCCCCTTGGCTCCTGGCCACGCCCCCTCAAGTATCAGAGGCAGCCCAGAGGCAGAAGGTGAATTGATGGACACTTGGGCAAAGTCAGGGCTGGACTGGGCCATGCCCCAGCAGCTCCCCTGGCTGGTAAATTCCTGAATTAGCGGGAGGGCAGGTTCACTCTCCAAAGTTGGACCATAAATTCTCTGAGGGGCAGGATCGCCTCACCCCGACACTGGCCCTCATCCATACCGGTGTCCCAGTCAATGTACGCCCCATCCAGTCACTTTTCTAACTGCAGCAAGAGCTAAGTAACATTTATTGGGCACTTGCTCTGTTCTAGGCCCTATCACAGGGGGACTGCTTTTCATTCTGGCACCAATTCTGGGAAGTAGACAGTATTATTATCCCCATTCGACAGAGGTGGAAACTGAGGCCCAGAGAGGTGAAATGCCTGGTACAGGGACTTGCTCAAGGTCACATGCGAGTGGCATCAGGACAGGAATTCCAGTGGGTTCAGAGCCTGCCCTGACTGCCCACTTTTTATCCTTCCTAGAGCCTGGCACTCCTTCTGGGGCCAGGCTCAGGCCAAGCTGAAGGAGCCATTCCCGAAGCAGTTCTGGGCAGAGGAAGGCCGAACAGCCAATTCACAGGGGTTGTGCTGATGAGTTTCTTGGTAATGTGGAAAGTCTGACAATCCTATAAATGTGTGAAACTGAGACTCAGTTTTCCCTCATCCTACCTCCCCTTTCTACCCACCCTCCAACACAGATCTAAATATAGATCCCATGTTGTGGGGGCAGCCCCCTCTCTAGACTGTAAGAGAAGATGACGTTGGGGAGGAGGTGGGGCCATCCAAATTGGGCGAGAGGGGCCTCGGCTGTTGCTGGCTCCAGAGGGGCCCCTGTGTAAGTATGAAGAGGGTGGCTGGAATTTCTGAAGTCCGTATCTGAGATGACTGGATGGAGTCGTACATTTCCACCCTTCTGGGGTGAAGGACACAGCAAGGAAGACCATTTAGGGAAGTCACCGTTTATGGGAATGTAAACTACGTGACTTTGGTAAGGTGCAGCATAAAAACGCGAATACGTGTTTATGCACTAAGCTGGAAATGATGCCAATACCCTCAGTTAAAACAAACCGTCAAGAATTGCAGTTTCCTCGCGTCGGAGGAACTAAGTGAGCTGTTAACTGAGGATTGTAAACCCGCCACATGGTGACCTTGCTTTGGTTATTAAATAGAAATACCTGCTCTCTATATGCAGGCGCTGTTGTTGACCTGCCTCTAAATGTCTAATTTCTGCAGGAGATTCTGGTGACGAGTGTGCTGTTTTCTCAACGTCCGCAGTTATTACAACTTTAAATCTTTTACCCATATCCTGTAACAATGTCATCCAAGTGTTCCTTAAGTGGTGGTGCTGAAAAACGCACCTGAAAATCAATAACATTGGAAAGGAAGTGAGATGTGATAAAACGTTATGAAGAAGGCCAAACCACCGGCAGGAAACGCTGCACTGTTAATTTAGCAGAGAGTGCATTATGAAATATTAGCAATAATGCCGGGAAAATAAAAAGCAGCATTAAAGCAAAAATATGCCACAATTGGGGTAGATTCATGCAACACATCCTTTCTACTTTGCATTCATTTCTATGGCGAAATGAGTCAGGAATTATGCACGCTTTGAATTATGCAAGGTGTTCAGAACCCATGCTTTGCATAACACGCAACCGCGCTGAGCTTCTCAGTGGGAGGGAGAGAGTGGCCCTATTCTAGGGTTATCTTAGGCCAGGTAGCTCTACCCTCCTGTCCTGGGTGGGGATGCAGCCACCTCATCTGTCAAATGGGACCGTTGGACTGGCTTGTCTTGCTGTCCCTATTAGTTTATGTAGAGACAGGCACCATTGTATTTCTGCCCCAAAAGTGTCTTTTCCTGGACAGATCCCACAGCTGATACTAAACTTGTCTTTATTAACCAATGAGGGCGGCCATTTAAACACCAGGTGCCAGAGAGCGTTTCTCAGTCTTCGGAATCCAGGTGGGATGAATCCTAGAAGGCAAGGTCCCTCCACCTCCACTCTAGAGTCACACAGAGAAGTGCCCTGGGGGCTGGTGACAGGTGGGTGGGAGAAGAAAAGGCCCCCTGGGGAGGAGCAAGCCAGGTGCCATGGGCAGCCAGCGCCACTAGAGGGCAGCACCAGCACACGGCTGAGGCCGCTTCTCCCGGAGCCCGGAGGCAGAGCTGGGTTCCGGGCGCCAGCGGTGCTCGGGTGAGCAGGACACCCCCACGTCCCTGCTCTCATGAAGTTCCCATTTTCCTGGAGGAGACAAAATAAACATGTGAACAAACGAACATTGTCAGGCAGCAAAGGTTGGTACAAATAAGATAGTGATGGAGGCACCGTTAAATAGGGCCCAGGGAGGCCTAACCCGGGAGGGGGACAGCTGAGATGCCACATGACTGGGGAAAACAGGCCGAGCTCTGAAGGTGCTCATGGAGAGGGGACGGGGCCCCCAGGGGGTCGGGGAGACTGGGTCAGGGAAGAGAAAACTGAGGAACAGAGAAGCCAGGTGACTTACCCAGGGTCACAGAGCCGGTGAACTGGGGCAGCGTCTGACAACGCCCGCGAACCTTCCACGGCACTGGTTTCTCCGACCTTCCTCTGTAAACAGGACCGTGACAGTGACAGGTTCTGCCCCACTCCCCATATTTGACCGTCATGCCCATAAAGAAACAGGGCAGGGATCACTGGCTGTGAGCCTAGCAAGTCCCTTCCCGTGGCTTTCTCAGTTATCAAATGAAAGGGTGGGTCTCCGCGTAACTCCGAAGCTCCCCACTCTAATCGTCCTCGGGCCGAGAACGCCTGAATTCTGGCTCCCGAGCACCTTCTGGTGGACAGTTTTGGAATCACACGCTCAGAGGGAAGGGGTCGTGGGAAAATGGTTATTGCCAATTTCAGAGAGGCCAGTGGATTGGAAGGTATCACTGAGATCTTGCCACTGCACTCGTCTGGGCGACACAGCGAGACTCTGTCTAAAAAAAAAAGGAATGGTTCTCCTCCAGTCTACTCACCCAATCATGAGTTTCACTTCTCAAGTGGGCTAATCACCCACTGTCTTGTTGAGACCTGGGGACTTGTATAAAGTCGTTCCCTGGAGGGCTGAGCAGAAAGCCAGGCACCTGGTAACTAAGGCAATGGTGCGTTACAAAGCGCTCTGCACATGCCGTTCACATGTGTGTCTTACTTGACTTACAGGCTGATCTTTCAAGCCTAGGCAAGGTGAGGTAATTACTCCCATTTTACAGACGAAGATATTGAGGCCCAGACAGGGAAGTAATGAAATAGCATTGCAGGAACCATCTAACCAATGTGCAAACTCTCCCATCCAGTTTTCATAACACAATCAGTTTTCTTCTTTAAAAAACAGGGAGGTGGAGGCTTTAAAAATGTGAGGCGAGTGCTTAATGCCGCATAGCCGATCAGTAGTTGAGGCAGGATTTGAACTTCGCTCCAGAGGCTAAAGCCCAGGTTCTCAACACAATGGCAGGTATAAGGCTGTGGGCACACACAGACTCAAGCCCTTCCAGTCACACACTGTCCCTTTGCCATGCCTCTGGGGTCCTAAGAACATCTTCCTCTGAGCCTGAGGGGAGGTCATTCCCCATCCTGGGTGCCCCTGCTCCTCTCCCAGATTTGGGGCAGGTGAATCTTGTCACCTGCACCACTGTCAGAGGCTGAAACGGGGGCTGAGCATTAATTATGCAGTAACCTCGCTGTGGTGTGCCTAATTATCTGATAACCATAATTGAATCTTATGGATTACACCAACATCATTGTAGGGAGCAGTTTAAAGCAGTTAATGGAAGCTGCGCTTGCTTTGTGATATCGTCCTCCCTTCTCGCTGCTGGCTGGACCGTGAGTCCTTTCCTGGGGGCTGAGGGAGGCTGTGAGGTGCAGGAGCAGGCAGGAGGTGAGTGATAGTACAAATGTCGCATCACCTTATCCCCCTGAGGGCACCATCTTCCTGGCTGAGAAAAGTCTGCGTGGCAGGTGGAATTATCATTTGGTAAATGAGAATGTGGTCTTGGAAGGCTGAGAGACTCTCCCAATTCAGTCTTGCCTGTTGCTACTGGTCCTTGCTAGCATCATCCGGGACTGTTTAGAAATGCAGCATCTCAGGCTTCATCCTGGACCTACTGAATCAGAAGCTGCATTATTTTTTATTAGATGAATTTTTTTTTTTAAAGAGATGAGGTTTCACTCTGTCGGCCAGGCTGGAGTGCAGTGGTCTGATCGTGGCTTGCTGCAGCTTTCAACTCCTGGGCTTGAGAGATCCTCCAGCCTCAGCCTCCCTAGTAGCTGGGACTACAGTCAGAGCCACCATGCCTGGCTCCCAGAATCTGCATAGTAATAGCATGCTCATGTGATTTATTTGAGTGTTGCCATTTGCTGAGTACTGGTTTATGTAATTATTTATTTATTGCCTATGTGGGATCCATTGTCCTTTATTGTGGCAACATTGACTTTCATTTGGGAAGTAACCCTTCCTCCCACATGGGGGACCCATAGCTGTACTCTCACTCCTACCTCCCTGAGGCAGTGACCCCAGGCCAGGCCAGTGAGTCGGTTCCAAGACCTTCAAGGCACTATGGAGGAAGATGTGTCTGACGGAGCTTTGTTGAGGCTTCTTCCTTCCTTCCCTCCCCTGCTGTGGTTCACTGTGGGTGAGTATTCTTCCCCACACCATCCATGATGAGCTCAGCCTCTGACTTGCTTTGGTCAATGGAATGTGGGTGAAAGTGACGATGTGTGGGTTCCCAGCTAGGCCTTAGAGTGGCATCTTGTGTTTCCACTTGCCCCTCTAGAGCTCCTGACCACCATGAGGAAGGAAGGTGTTGCACTGGTCACGTTGGTGTCCCTGTTAGGGCGCCACACACTGGGGTCACCACCTAAGACGCTGACCACCACCTGCAGAGATCTGTCCTGAAGACCCTGACTCAGTGACAGATGAACGGATGCACTCTCATACCCGGTACAGTGATTTGAGAGGCTAGGGATTGTTGTCAACTGCTTTCTGAGGGCGACTGCAGCTAACCAATCATGACTCCCCATTACTCCTCACATTTATTCAGTGTAGATTTAATAACAGGTTCTAGTCAACATTCTTGTGAATAATTAACATGGCTAGAAGAGTGGTTTTATGAATGATAAAAGGTCTTGGTTCCTGGGCCCAGAATAAACACCATTAACAGGTAAATTCCCTTCAACCTCCCCCTGAGAGGACCATCATCAAAACGTTTACATGAGGAAACAGTTAGAGTAGGGACAAAGGAATGTGGAGTAAACAGACTTAACTGGGGAAGATTTTATTATTAATCTTTACCCTGCAACTTAAAGTCACAATGTAAGAACTGGCTGCCTTCAGCCCTTTCCATTAAAACCTTTCAGCCTTCCAAAAGGTTTGAGACTATGATCTTATAATTTTCCCTAATATTTCCCCAATATTTTGCCAGTCATCCCGAGTGATTCCCAACAGGAAGGCACACCCAGGTGACCATGGTGCCTTCATCTGGAGTCCAGGATGGAGACTGTGGGGCAAACTGAACCCAACCGGAAGACTGGAGTCCAGCCTAACTCTGATATTAACAACTCCCCACTAACCTGTAGACCCGTGAGTATGAAAGGAATGATTGTTATAAGCAACTGAGATTTCAGAGTGCTTGTTACACAGCATTGTTGCAGCCGACACCCGACTGGTATAAAAGATGTACTTTCCTTCCAGGGGGATTGCTAAGCCGAATTTGGATTTTAGATATTATCTTGTCACTAGGGAGGCAGGGCCTGCCTAACGGCAAAACCAACCCAGAGGGAAATGGAGCTGACAGAGGATGAGAACCCCACTCGTGATGACAGCCTTTGTTTACATGGATCCAGCCTCACAGGAGTCAGTCAAGACTCTGTCAGTCTCAAGCAGTAGAGAGCTGAAACTCCACTGGCTTAAACCTGAGAGGGAATTAGTGGCTTACATAGCTCGGAAGTCTGGAGGTGACGCAGCTTTCAGGTGAGGCTTGAATCAGCAGCTCCTGGACCAGTGTCCTTGTCTCTCCACTCTGCCTCCCATTTTTCTGGTTTCATCTGAGGCTGGTTCCCCTTTGTGATATCGTAAGATACATAATGAGTTGCTGTCCACATTTCCTGGCATATAAGTCCTAAAATCCATGGAATCTCCAAAGAGGTAAGTGTCTTTTTGTATGCTAATGGCTGGCAGCCCCTAGGTAGCTTCAGGATGGGGGCTACTCCAGAAAGTTCAAGGCAGGAGTAGAGGGCTGGGACTTTCAGCCCCACTCCTGTTCTCCCTTAGAGGGGAGAAGGAGTGGAAGTTATGTTGATCACCAATGGCAGATGGTTTAATCAATCATGCCTCTGTAACGAGCCTCCATTAAACCCCTGAAGGACAGGGTCTGGAGAGTGTCCAGAGAGCTGGACCCCTGGAGGCTCCTGGAGGATGGCATGCTGCTCCCCCATACCTCACCCTATGCATCGTCCCATCTGTGTCCTCTGTGATATCCTTGATTTCATTTTTTGAGACAGAGTCTTGCTCTGCTGCCCAGGCTGGAGTGCAAAGGCATGATCTTAGCTCACTGCAATCTCCGTCTCCCAGGTTCAAGCAATTCTCCTGCCTCAGCCTCCTGAGTAGCTGGGACTACAGGTGCACACCACAACACCCAGCTAATTTTTGTATTTTTAGTAGAGACAGGGTTTCACCATGTTGGCCAGAATGGTCTTGATCTCTTGACCTCGTGATCCACCTGCCTTGGCCTCCCAAAGTATTGGGATTACAGGCCTGAGCCACCGCACTGGCCTTCTGCTGCTTTTTGATAATTAGACTGAGATTATGCATTTTAGTTAGGAATCCCCGCAGAAGTAATGTGTCTCTCTGGGGCTGCGTGGGGTCTATGTGTGTGATGATGTTACTGGTGATGTTAGCCTGGATCACGTGGTTAAGGAGGCATCTTCGGGTTTCTCAGATACGACTGACTATTCTCTTTGCAATTAGTAAGTATTTGGAGATACTTTGGGTGGAAATACTTTGAGGCTATCCAGTTGATTCATTGGAATTCTTTTGTCCTAAAAAAATTATCCTTTATTCCCCATCCATGCTGTTTTCATAACTTTTCCCACACTTAATACTAACTCTCAGATTCTAGATTTGCCGAATAGTCCACTGTCTGACTATATCCTGATTATTACTTAATCATTTCTCAGTTGCTAGGTAATATTTATCTATTTCCCCTCAATTACAAAAAACATTGCAATGAACGTACTTGTATTTATTGTTACACACTTTTGAGAGTCATTTTGAAGGCTATAGTTCCCCAAATAGAAAGTCTGAGGCAAGAGGTATGAGCATTTTTAGTTTTTCATAGATATTGCCAATTGCCACTCTATGAGGTTGCACTAGGTAACACCACCACCCTCTGTGGATGGAGATTATTTGTCCATCCATCCATTCGTTCACATGGCTTGCCTTTGGTCAGGCTGTGCAAGGGCAGACTCAGGGGAAGCAAAGCCCCCTCTAACTCTCCAAGACCTTTACAAACTCAGAACCCTCCTTCTCATTTATTTTATTCCCTGCCTCATCTTCTTCTTTTCTTGAGAGGGAGTCTTGCTCTGTCACCCAGGCTGGAGTGCAGTGGTGCTATCTCAGCTCACTACAACCTCCACCTCCTGGGTTCAAGTGATTCTCCTGCCTCAGCCTCCTGAGTAGCTGGGACTACAGGCGTGCTTCACCATGCCCTGCTAATTTTGGCATTTTTAGTAGGGACTGAGCTTTGCCATGTTAGTCAGGTTGATCTCGAACTCCTGACATCAAGTGATCCACCTGTCTCGGCCTCCCAAAGTGCTGGGATAACAGGCATGAGCCACCGTGCCTGGCCCCTGCCTCATCTTGTTTAACATAAATACATTCCATGTGTACCATACTTTAAAACAGGGCATTTTTTTCAAGATGGAATTCACATAAAATTCACTCTTTTACGATGGTTTTTCCAATGCAGTAGTTTTTGGTATATTTACATTGTTGTGTAACTATCACCATTATTTACTGCCAGAACGTTTTGCCTCCAAAAGAAACCCCATACCCATTAGTAACCACCGTGCCTGGCCCCATTTCTTTTTGGTAGTGTCCCACCTCAGCTGTTTTAGTATTCTGGGGCCATCGACCCAGACGCCTGCTTTCCTCTAGCCAAATGGCATGACTGAGCCAAAGGTACATAACCCAGGCAAGGCTAATAACCGAATTATTTACTTTTTCTGTCTCTGAAATGGAATCCAGAGCAGACACAACAACAACAAAGCCTGAAGTTAGTTATAGCTGATTCGCAGTTGCAGAAACAGCCAGAGAGACCATTCGCGGTTTCCCGCAACTGAGATTTCCAGAGCTGCCCTGCTTCTGGTTCCATCCCCGCCTGATTCTTCAGTGTTTTCCTCAGTTCTGTGAGCTTCCCTGGATTCTTCTAGTAACCATTTCTTTGCATCACTTTGCTGGAGTCTATATGGCTTGAATCCAGGAGGCAGGGAGAAGGGAAAAGAGCAGGGCAGCAGGAAGTGTAGACCAGGATGTGTACATACTGGTGTGTTTGCAGAAGGGCTGCCAGCAGGTCAAGGTTGGCGTCTTTCTCTCAGTCTTTGCTGTAAACCTGCCAGGTGCAGTGAGGTGGTGGTGAGGTGGGCTTTTGCGGATACCTGGGAATTTGAAATCAGTTTAATTTACCAAACATCTTCAAATGCTCTTTCTGTTTCCCCCATCCCAAGGTTTACTGTTCAGTTCAGATGATTTAGGGGCTCCTCGCCCTGGCATGCTGATAGCACTTTACCCTTTCATGGGTTTTGAATGTTCTAAAATGGACATCAAGAACCCAAGTTTAACACACAGATAATATAAATGAATGAATGACGACATAAATCAACTGAGTTAAGCAATTTCAGTTTTGGAGCCACAGAACTTGTAACAAGAATCCTCTCACTCATTTGTTTTGCTTTCCCCCCTCTTTCTTGTGGTACAGCACAGCAATGGAAACCTTACCTTTAAAAATGACATGGGCCTAGGTTCAAGTCTTGGGTCCACTGCTTTATAAGCTATGTGGCCATGGCACGTTTCTTCTTTCGGACAGGAAAGCTGTATTTGTGGGTTTTTTTGAGACAGGGTTTTTGCTGTTACCCGAGCATTGCCGTGATGTGATCATGGCTCACTGCAGCCTCCACCTCCTGGGCTCAAGAGATCCTCTCACCTCAGCCTCCCAAGTATCTGGGACTACAGGTATGTGGCTAATTTTTAAAAACTGTTTTTGTAGAGACAAGGTTTCACCATGTTGCCCAAGCTTGTCTTGAACTCCTAGGCTTAAGTGATCTGTCTACCTCGACCTCCCAAAGGATTACAGGCCAGCTGCACCTGGCCTGAAAACTGTATTTATAGACAGAGTTTCCCTCTGTCACCCAGGGCTGTAGTGGAATGGCATGATCTTGGCATACTGCAACCTCTGCCTCCCAGGTTCAAGTGAGTCTTGTGTCTCAGCCTCCTTAGTAGGTGGAATTTCAGGCATATGCCACCATGTGCTGCTAATTTTTGTATTTTTAGTAGAGACGGGGCTTTGCCTTGTTGGCCAGGCAGGTTGATGTTGGGATTCACTCTGGGTGGCTGGCAAAATATTAAGGGAAATATTGGGAAAGGTTATAAGATATAGTCTGTAACCATTTGGAAGGCCGAAAGGTTTTTATTAACTTATAGAACAGGCTGAAGGCAGCCAGTTCTTAGATTAGAGCATTAAGTCAAAAGGTAGATTAAGGATAATAAAACCTTCCCCATTGAGTCTGTTTACCCCACATCCCTTTGTCCCAAGGGGACAAAGTGTTTACTCATGTAAACAGTATGCTGATGGCCCTCTCAGGGGGAGGTGGAAGGGGATTTAAATGTTAATGGTGCTTATTCTGGGCCCTGGAATCAAGACCTTTTATCATTCATAACACCAGTCTTTTAACCGTGTTAATTATCCACAAGCATGTTGACTTAGAACCTCAGTTATTAAATCTCTGCTGAATAAATGAGAGGAGGATCAGGGCAATCACCCTCAGAACGCAGTTGGTGACCATCCCTAACCCACTCAGATTCAGATTCACTGTATTCTAGTGTACGTGAGTGCATTTTTCATCTGTCACATCAGGGTCTGAGGACAGATCCCCGCAGGTGGTGATCAATGTCTCAGGTCTCAAACTTGAAAGCTGTATGCTCTTTTTTTTTTTTTTTTTTTTTTTGAGATGGAGTCTTGCTCTTTTGCCCAGGCTGGAGTGTGGTGGTGCGATCTCGGCTTGCTGCAGCCTCTGCTCCCGGCTTCAAAAAAATCTCCTGCCTCAGGCTCCCAAGTATCTGGGATTACAGGCACCTGCCACCATGCCTGGCTAATTTTTGTATTTTTAGTAGAGATGGGGTTTCACCATGTTGGGCAGGATAGTCTCAAACTCCTCACCTCAGCTTATCTGCCTATCTTAGCCTCTCAAAGTACTGGGATGACGGGTGTCAGTCACTTCTCCTGGCCAAATGCTATATTTTAAAATAGAAAATGGTGATACTATGTTTCTTAGCATAGTGTCTGTCATATAGCTAAGTATTATTAGTATTCCTTGTGGTTTTTTTCCCCTGTGCTGGTTTTTCAACAGTTCCTACGAATCCTCTCTGCACTGGGCACGTTCTTCATCATTGCACTAATACTCTCTATCAGTTAGCTATTGCTGTGTAACAAGGCTTTTCAACATTTAGCTCATGGATCTACGGGTGAATTGGGCAGCTCTGCTGATCTTGGCTGGGCTTACATATTTGGTGGTCAGCCAGCTGTAGGTTGGCTTAGGATGGTCTCAGCTGGGATACCTGAGCTCTATTCTTCATGGGGTCTCTCATCCTTCAAGAAGCTAGCCTGGGATTGTCCCTTCAGGGCTCAGTGCAGATGTCCCTTCCATGGGGAGGCCCTCCCATTAGATTTGGTCTCCCCATTGGCCACTCTGAGCGGCTCCTATCCATTCCTTTTGTAATGAGATGGGAAGGAAGCATATGCAGGAGGCATCTCGTAAAAACATCTAATTATTATTCTTTTTTGAGATGGAGTCTTGCTCTGTTGCCCAGGCTGGAGGGCAATGGTGTGATCTTGGCTCACTGAAATCTCTGCCTCCTGGTTTCAAGAGATTCTCTGGCCTCAGCCTCCCAAGTAGTTAGGACTATAGGCATGTGCCACCATGCCTGGCTAATTTTTGTACTTTTTAAAGTAGAGACAGGGTTTCACCATGTTGGCCAGGCTGGTCTTGAACTTCTGACCTCAGGTGATCTGTCTGCCTTGGCCTCCCAAAGTGCTGGGATTACAGGTGTGAGCCAAGCTCCTGGCTGGCTTGTTCTTACGTTGATCAGTGAAAAGAGACTCAGAGTGACTTCTGGTCACATGGTAGAACTGGCATTCTGACTTATGCCAATGCAGTTTCATCTTTGTAATCAATGTCCCTACAATGATTTCCACACATTAGTGTGTGGAACCCAATGTCCTGGGATGGCTTGTTATAAATGCAGATTTCCAACCTTCACTTGCAATGATTCTGACTCTAGGTCTGAAGTGCAGTGCAGAAAACTGCATTTTTATTTATTTATTTAAATTTTAGACCGCATCTTCCTCTGTAGCCCAGGCTAGAGTGCAGTGGCTCCATCTCGGCTCACTGCAACCTCCACCTCCTGGGCTCAAGCCATTCTCCCACCTCAGCCTCCTAAGTAGCCGGGACTACAGGCACATGCCACCATGCCCACTAATTTTTGTAGAGACAGGGTTTCACCATGTTGCCCAGGCTGGTCTTGAACTCCCGAGCTCAAGTGATCCACTTGCCTCAGCCTCCTAAAGGTGTGAGCCGGCCTAGAAAACTGCATTTTTTAGCAAGCACCTCCTGGAAAGCAGTGAGAGGAGCTGTGAGTTTGTGGGAGTGGCACTGAAGCAGGAGTCAGGAGACCTGGGTTTCTACCTGCTGGCTCTGGGAGGGGCTTCCATGGATTTTCCCTGAGCCTGGGCACCTCCTGCCTGGCGAGATGGCAGGCGACACGAAGGCAGCCAGTCCTGGAGCTTAGCAGCTCACACTCCAGCGAGCATGTTTGGGAGGCAATGGGATTGGATTTTTAGAGGTTGCTGGCTGTGCCCAGTGGGCTGAAGCCAAGAAGCAGTGACATTCTGTTTGCCTGATTAGAGTTTGTTCTTTTATTAAAACGTTGAGCCAACATAAACAATTGGGAGATTTCAAGTTATAATATGATTTCTGGCATCTCTCGAAGAGTCGAAAGATCGAGTGACTCTGGGACTGTGTTGCTGCATGAACAAGAGAGGCTGGGATTGAGCTGGGCCTGGCCCTGCTCAGTTGCCACAGTCCTCGCCACTCCCTATTGTCTTCCCTGCCACCCACTTGTTTATGGGCTGCTTTAGTCTTGGGGCTGTGTGAGAGTGAGTCCCTGGACTCCCTGGTGTCCAGAAACCTTCCACTCTCTGGCTCGGAGACAGTAGGTTTCCTCCAGCTGCACTTGACCCACGTTGGCACAGTCTTCCGTCCTCTCTCCATCCTCTCCCCATGCTCTCTCTGTTCCCTTCCCCTCAGCTGTGAGCTTTTCTCTGAGACGTAACTGTGGTGATAGGGCAAGACCACAGGCTCTGGGTTCCACCCACCATTCCCCACCGGGGGGCCCTAGGCAAATCAGGTAACTCTCCGTTAGGTAACCTCAGCTTTCACCTCTGTAAAACAGGGGGAGCACTTCTCACCCACTCCTGATATTTCCTTCCTTGTAGAGGGGGCATCTGTTAACGTGCTTGGCCTGGCCCCAGCCCGATCTCTCCCAGGGAGGAGGGGATCACTTGCATGAGTGGCGCGCCTGGGACCAAGTCGCTGCCTGTGCAGCACAGCCCCTTCCTTCTCTTCTCTTTGGGGGTCTGCCCACCTGCGGAGACAGCCCTCCTCTTCATGCTCTTCTCTGCCCCAAGTTTTACAGGGGCCCACTCTGTCTCTGTGAGGGGAGGCTGGATTCTGACGGTGATGTCCAGCAGTCTGGGAGTGAGTGGGTTTGTCTAATTCTGGGGTTCAGTATAAGAGAACCACATGCCTAAGATGTATTCTCCCAAATCACCGTCACCAATAGTAAGGTCTGAAATTCATCTCACTTGGTTCTGAACAGGGGCTGGGAAGATAGATACCCTTTGCTGGGTCCACTCAGACACCCTCAAATAGTTGTACTTTTGGTGGCTGTTGTGAGGGGCCGTGCCTGGCAGATAGTAGATACTTAATAAATAGCAATTGCTATTGTAAAACTCTTGCTCTTCCTGTTTAGTTACACATTCAGAAGTAGGAAAGGGGGACCAGTGCAGGGAGGGGTGGAGTAGTGGGGGACAAGAGGAGGGGAGTGGGATGAACTCAAAGGAACGTGAAGAAATAGATAAGAAGGAGGGGAAAGTAGCCTGGATACTGCTTCTCTTAAAAGCTGCCTTCCAGAGCCTTAGAAGTATATGCAAATCACATGCAAATCTCACACATATTTATCAGCAGCCCTCCTTGGGAAGTCTGCTTGGATGTGGCCCTGGGGGAAAATTTGGGTGGAGGTCACTGAATTCCAGGGAGTTTGCTGTGAGAACCAGGGAGAACAGGTGCGTGGGAATGGGTGTGGGGGAGGGTGGGAGGAAAGGGTGGTAAAGGCAGACATGGTAGGGGTAGGTGGGGTGGGGCTGGGATCTGGGCTGCCTATGGGGGCAGAGGCCAGTCAGGATAGACACAGGAGCCTACGGAGTGGTGAGACTGTGTGAAGGTGCAGGTGGCCACCAGCCGCAAGGGGCACTCAGCCTCTCTGCACCCCTGGACCTGCTCCCTCTCCCAGCCAGGCCCACTTCTTAGCCAAGCTTAGAAAGACTGTAGGATCCTAACGAGCCCCGGCCCTGGCATCTGACAGACCTTGTTTATCTTCCAGCTGTGCAACAGTGAGCCAGTTACCAGCCTCGGGTTCCTCTTCTGTAATACGGGTTAGTAACAGTCTCTCCCTCACAGAGCTCCTGGGAAGATGAGGGGAGAGAAGGTGCTTGGTGAGCGTGAGTCTGGGGTCTTCAGAACTGTTCTAGCCATTCCTACCCTTCATAGCCCAGCTGGGAAATCTGTGCTGTACACGCTCTGTTTCATTTAATCCCAGTGAGCTCGGGCTGCTGAGTGTGGAGCCGCTCTTATTACTCCCAGTTTACAGATGAGGATGCTGGAGTCCTGTGAGGTACAAGAGCTAGGACAGCGTCAGTTTCGCATTCAGACCTGGGCTGTTTCTCTTGATGCTCTCCAACCTCCTCTCGGAACGTTAGATCTGGTGGGTCTCTGAGATGGGTAACTCTTCGTTTTGTTATAGTGAACTCCAAGTTTCTCTTCAAAGGATCAGTATGTCAGTATGTTCAACTCTCTTATTCGTTATTCTCTATTTTAAAGTTTAACTTCCTTGTAATTCCAGTATACGACCTTCTACACCAGTTCTAATTAGTAGTTCACATCTGTCCCCCCTCCCCTGGTTCCATCCTGACTCATCCTGGTCACCTGATCACCCCTGGCTACCTGCTCAGACAAGCTGTAACCATCCTTCCCACCAAAACACCCACCCTGCCACTCCAGCTCAGACCCCTGCTTTTTAAAAAACAGCCAATCGGGATTAGTCTAGCTTGTGCCATCTAACCCTAGCCAATAGGGGATGACACAGCAGTAGGGACGACTCCCATCAGGCATAAGTACCCCTTCCCTGCTTGTCCAAGCGTGTGATCACCATTGCTCCATCTGTGCTCTGCACCCTTCTCTAGAAGTAAACTGCCTTGCTGGGAGGGTTCATCTTCAAGTGCTATTTCTTTTGCAGCATTGAAATTTTACTTATAAAAATTCAATAAATGAAGCCCAGAGAGGTTGAGGGACTTGCCTAAGGTCACACAGCCAGTTAGAGGCAGAGCTGGAGCTTGACCAAGGGTCCTGGCTGGAGGTCCTGCTCACTTTCCTGCACAGCATATAAGACCTCCCCTCCCAGGCAGCTTGACCACTGAGGGGGCTCTGCTTCCCCTTGTCTGTCTTGTGGCGCTGACTGCCCAGGGTGGCGGCTGGGTGCCTCTGGAACTCCTCTCAGCTGGGATCTGGGGGAGTGCTGCCTGCTAGGGGATTTGGGGGACTTCCTGACTTCTGCTCACCTCCTCTGCCACGCCCCCTCCGCCTCCACCTGTGTCTCTCCCGCCCCTGCTCATCAGCTGTCCCTTCCCCTTTCCCACTCCAAGGCTGTCAGTGTTTGGGGGAGATTATGCAGTGTTGACATTGGAATATGAATTAGACGAGAGCAGCAGCCAAATATTGGTATTAGGGAAGGCAGAAGCCCAGGCAGGGATCCAAGAGTGGCTGGAACATCTGTGTCTTGGCTGTTCCAGATGCCCGACCCTGCGCCCACCTGAAAACGATGGGTCGCAGAGCCACAGATGAGCTCTGGTGCAGCCAAGGCTTGGTCCTTGACTTGCCAGGCGAGCCCACAGCTAAGTCCCACAGAGCTTGGCCCCATCAGCTTGCCATATTCTGAGGCCCAGGAAAAGGCAGTTGCTTCTGTTGTGAGTTGACAGACGGAGGCAAGACGCTGCCCAAGGATGCACCCTTCATTTAATTGTCTGAAATCCCATCTCTAGTGCTTGTGCAGGCCAGCATTTGCCAAAATGTGTTCCACAGATCCCAAGTTCTAAAGGCTGTTAATAAGTTTTGTGTAAAAGGGGGTTCCACGGCCATGTACTTGGGAGAGGTGTTAAACAGAGCTAAGCTGGACTTCTCAGGGAGGGCCTTGAGTGATTTAATAGACACAGTGATTCATCAGAAGGGTGAGGGATGGAGGCTGTAGTATTTCCTAAGCTTGTTTGACATGTAACCCTGTTCTCAAGGAGTATCTTTTTTTTTTTTTGAGACGAAGTCTTGCTCTGTTGCCCAGGCTGGAGTGCAGTGGCACGAACTTGGCTCACTGCAACCTCTGCCTCCTGGGTTCAAGTGATTCTCCTGCCTCAGCCTCCCAAGTAGCTGGGACTACAGGCTCACGCCACCACGCCTGGCTCATTTTTCTATTTTTAGTCAAGATAGGGTTTCACCATATTGGTCAGGCCGGTCTTGAACTCCTGATCTCAGGTGATCCTGACCCACCTCAGCCTCCCTAAGTGCTGGGATTACAGGCATGAGCCACTGTGCCCGGCCTCTCATGGAATATCTTTTTGGACCAGTGTGAGAAGATCTGTCTTCTAGCAGCTGCTGGTACCTCTGTCCAGGGGCTGGCGTGAGATAGACACAATACATATGGATTGAGTCCGAATCTCTCAGAATCTGCTTCCTGCATCTGTGAAATGGAAGAGCAGCACCCGCCCTGAGTGTTTTTGTTTTCTTTCTTGAAAGTCAAACGAGAGGCTCATGTGTAGTAGTTGCAAGCTGAATAGTTGCACATATTTCGGGAATGATTACGATCAGCCCCGTCTCTTCTTTTAACTAATCTGATAAACGTAGACACGCTGACAGCTTTGTGATAATACTCCCCCCGGGACTTTTCCATTTTCCTCTCCAGGGAGAGGGAGATGCTTAGCCTAGCATTCCTCAGTGTGAGTTCATGCCTTCACGGACCTTATTACATGGGACTGCTAGTGGCAAGCTCCAGGCCAGCTTGCTGAGTGGCAGGACAGAAAGGTAGTCGATTCCAGGGCTCTTCACTCCTGAGTCTGGAGCCATGTTTGTCCGAGTGCTGCCATGGTACCAGGCCTGGGACTGGGCACTGGGGAGGCACGTGACAGAGGGACTTCCTGGACCAGTTTGTGGCGACACCGTGCCCACCGCCAGGCGACCCTCCCAGGGTCTGAGCACTGCCCCAAGCTCCCTGCAGGCCAGCCATACTTGAGTGTGGGACCAAGAGTGCTCTCTCTAAGGAGGCATGGATCTCAGAGTGGAACGCTCAGCATCCTGGTACCAAAGGGGTCATCCTCTTCCTGTCTCTCTTCTTCCTGCAGGGGCTTCTTGGGCTGCAGCCTCACCTTTGCCCAACCCCCTCAGTTAAGAATTGTCTGAATTAAGAGTTAAAAAAGGTCAGATCTTGGAAGGACTTAGCCACTTCCCCCAGGAGGCCTGGAGAAAACTCCAAGTCACAAACCTGGAATCCCTCACTTCCCCTATCTGGGCCTCAGTTTCCCCATCTGTAAGCTGAGGAACCTCATCTAGCTCTAGAAAGTAAGTCTACGGATTCAGAAACATCATAAACTCCAGCATTTACATATGAAATACTTCCTGTGATTCCCTCCCTCTCCATCTGTCCTCTGGTGGAGTCCTGTTGTGTCACCCCTGTGTGATTCCAGCAGCTTCCTAAGGTGTCTCCCGGACTTTGGTACTTTTCTTTCATGTCTGCCTGGAGATATTTTTTTTTTTTTTTTTGAGACAGAGTCTTGCTCTGTTGCCCAGGTTGGAGTACAGTGGTGAGATCTGGGCTCACTGCAGCCTCTGCCTCCTCGCGTTCAAGAAATTCTCCTGCCTCAGCCTCCTGAATAGCTGGGATTACAGGCACGTGCCACCACATCTGGCTAATTTTTGTTTTTTTAGCAGAGGTGGCATTTCGCCATGTTGATCAGGCTGGTCTTGATCTCCTGACCTCGTGATCTGCCTGCCTCAGCCTCCCAAACTGCTGGGATTACGGGTGTGAGCCATAGTGCTTGATCAGATCTTCTTAGGTTCTGCTGACCTCATGTCCTTTTCCTACTTCCAAATTTGGGATGGCTTCCTGCTGCCCCTGGGTAAGGTCTGTATCACGTCTCTGCACCTCTGCCACAGAGACCACTGGGATTTTCTAGAGCACCTGAACTGTCACTCTTCCTAGCCTTTGCATTTGCCCTACCTTCAGCCAAATGCCTTTCCTCCTTCTCCTGATGGTGACATTTTCTGCAACCTGTAAGATCTAACTTCTTCCCACCCAACTTACTTCTCCTCTCCTCTCTTAGTGCTCCCATTGTAAATGTGTTTGTGCTTGTTTTTCTTTTCTTTTTTTTTTTGAGTCGGGGTCTCACTCTATCACCCAGGCTGGAGTGCACTGGCACAATCTCAGCTCACTGCAACCTCTGTCTCCCGGGTGTGAGATTCTCCTGCTTCAGCCTCCCGAGTAGCTGGGATTACGAGCGCCATGCCCGGCTAATTTTTGTATTTTTAGTAGAGACAGGGTTTCACCGTGTTGGCCAGGCTGGTCTCGAATTCCTGACCTCGAGTGACCCACCCTCCTTGGTGCTGGGATTATAGGCATGAGCCACCAGGCCCAGCCTGTGCTTTTTTTTTTTTTTTAATTGCATCATAATCAGTTAATATACTTGATTTTCACTACTATAAATCCCTTTGTATTATCGATCATATATTAGCAAACATTTAGCTTTTTCCTTAAGTTATAAAAATAGGCTGGCTGTGGTAGCTTACTCCTGTAGTCTCAGCACTTTGGGAGGCCAAGTCGGAGGATCACTTGAATCTAGGAGTTCAAGACTAGCCCTGGCAACATAGGAAGACTCCATATCTACAAAAAAATACAAAAACACTTTGGGAGACCAAGGTGGGTGGATCACCTGAGGTTAGAAGTTCAAGACCAGCCTGGCCAACATGACAAAACTTTGTCTCTACTAAAAAATACAAAAATTAGCTGGATGTGGTGGTGGGTACCTGCAATCCCAGCTAATCAGGAAGCTGAGGCATAAGAATTGCTTGAACCTGAAAGGTGGAGGTTGCAGTGAGCCGAGATCATGCCACCTGCACTCCAGCTTGGGTGACAGAGTGAGACCCCCATCTCAAAACAAACAAACAAACAACAAAAATCTAAACAAATACAAAAAATTAACTGGGCGTGGTGGTGCACACCTGTAGTCCCAGCTACGCGGGAGGCTGAGGTGGGAGGATCACTTGAGCCTGGAAGGTCAAGGCTGCAATGAGCCGTGATGTGCTGCTGCACTCCAGCCTGGGTGACAGAGCAAGAGCCCATCTCTTAAAATAAAAAACAAACAAACAAAACAACGCAAAGGCACACTCTTGTAACATTTCCAAATGGTTCAGAAGTAAAAGTGAAACATCCCCCCTCTCTAACCCTATTGGTCAGTCCGGTGACTCCTGGGTAATGCCTGCTAACGGTTCCTTGTGTTCTTACGCACGTACGCCTTTGCTCATTCAACATGTATTCATGTACCAAAACTGATGTAACTGGCCTCCACTACGAGGTATTTAGGTTGTTTTCCATTCTCTATTGCTATAAATAATGCTGCGAAGATCACCTTCAGATTCAAATATTTCTGCAGGTAGAGTGGTAGAAATGCGATTGCTGGGTCGCAGAGAACATCCACTTAAAGTTTTTAATGAATACTGACAAACTGTCGTCAGAGAAGGTTGAACTATTTACCTCTCCCAGCAAGTCTTACACTGATGTGGAAAGATCTGTCTTCCTCCCTTGAAAGCGGGGTCTGGATCTTAATTTGTTGCTGTGGCCCTGGAATGCGGTAGGCTAGGTAAATGCTTGCTGAGTGAACCTATGGGTTGTCAAGCCCTCGTTCTGTATTTTTCCAGAAAAGGAGCAGACCTTCAGCCCCCAAAAAGTCTATGAAGTCAACTGTGAGACCAGGAGACCTTGACCTGTTTGGTTTGACACTCTGAATTGCAAAGAATCCTGAGGAGTCCTGGGTACTTTCTTTGTTAAGTGGGGGTTTGTGGTTTTTGTCTTCAAAGCTGGCCTAGAGGCTCTGGGTTGCCATGGCAACTCTTGAGCAGGGCCGCCTTTTCCCATCCCTCCATCTTGGGAGCCCTGGTTGCCATAACAACTGATTGGTCCTCTCTTCTTCCTCCACTTCTGCCACAGGGCTCCAGCTTCCCTCTGGGGGCACCACTGTTCTTAGGTCTGGGGCAACCCTGATATCACTTGACCCATGTATTTGAGACCTTCTTGAGAGGAGATGTGAGGGAGGCCACTACTGGGGAGGGTGGCAGCAGAAAACAGCATGGCCTGGCCGAGTGCTGTGGCTCATGCCTGTAATCCCAGCACTTTGGGAGGCCAAAGCAGGTGGATTACCAGAGGTCAGGAGTTCGAGACCTGCCTGGCCAATATGGTGAAACCCTGTCTCTACTAAAAATGCATAAATTAGCTGGGTTTGGTGGTGGGTGCCTGTAGCCCCAGCTACTCCGGAGGCTGAGACAGGAGAATCACTTGAACCTGGGAGACAGAGATTGTAGTGAGCTGAGATCGTACTACTGCACTTCCAGCCTAGGAGACAGAGCGAGACTCCATCTCAAAAGAAAAAGAAAAAGAAAATAGCATGGCCACTGGGAAGGGGTAAGAGTTCAGGCGGAGGAAGAGTGAGGTCCCTGCTCTATCCTAACCTGGGAGAATCACTGTTGCCTGGGGACCAGAGCAGGAATTAAGTTCCTCTGAGGTTCAGGGACAGTTTTGGGGATCAGTGAGGTACAGGGACTGTGAGGTCTCAATCATTCTTCCTCAACATTCCCCAGAGATGTCAGAGCAGATGCAGCGGCCACCCTCGGGGGGTCCTCAGCCTTGGAGGAGGCAGGAGACCTGGGCTATGGAGCCACTCGGAGGCCCTATTGAGGACAACGTGGTGGCCATCACAGTTCTCTTCAGAATGCCCAGAGTACAGGGATAAGGAGGTGAAACCAGTGCATTTATTAACATGCTGCAGTACTCTGCGGCCACATCAAAAGAGGACATTGAGGATTCTGGTGGCACTGGAGACGTACTGCTAAGGGAAAAAAGCAGGACCCACAATGCTATGTGGATATTGACTGCGACTATATAATGGCAGTGTGGACTTCTCAGAGATGGGATTTGGAGGAATGTAATATAGATGCAAATAGACTTTTCCCCACACTGCCTTCTCCCCCAGCGTTTCCCCATCTCTGTCAATAGCCTTGCCACCTACTCTGTTGCCCAAACCAGAAACTTGATTCAAACCAAGCTTCTCCCTCTGCCCTCATGCCCTATTCCTGTTAGTCTTGCTGGTTCCAGCTCTGAGCCAGCTTTCAGAGTAATCCTCCTTCCATTCCCACATCCACATCCCCCAGGGGCCTCTCTCCTCTCATCGTGCCTGTCCCCTCACGTCCCACCACGCTCTGCTCCCCAGCCCCTCTGCCATGCTGTGGCCCCGGGCAGATGTGGCCAAGGGGCTCCTCTCCTCCTGCTCCTCATTTGCCCCAGGATCAAGGAGAAACTTCCTGGCCCACGAAAGCCCTTCTGGATCCAGTTCCTTAGCTCAGGCTCTAGCTTCTCCCTGCTTTCAGCCTTGCTAACTCCAGGAGGCTCTCTTTATTCCTCTTTGCCTGTGAACACAGCTCTCTTTGCCAGGAATGCCCTTCCCTGCCTCATCTGCCTGGTCAGCTCCTATCCCCCATGTCACATTTTGCCCAGGACTTTCCAAGATGGTAGAAGAAAGAGGTTTCCGCTCCATTCCCTCCTAAAAACCGTGCAGAAACCACAGGAGAAAAAGAACAGAAGCCCGAACCCCATCTTTGGTGGAATATGGAGCTGTCTCTACTCCTGAATCTCAATACATGGAGGGGGAAGCTGCCAGAGGAGGATAAAGGGCTCAGCAGAGAGGAGGAAGCTCAAACCTCTGTACTTATGAGTGGGGAAGAGACTGGAGAAGCGAGCTGGGTTTCTGTAGAGGCGCCAGGTATCACAAGAAGTGGGACAGGGCCTGAAAATAAGGGTAGGGGCTAGTTTGAAAGTCCGTGTAACCTCCAAGCCCCGCCTCCATCCTATGCAGCCAGGTGACTGTCCCCCTTACTCCCATAAGAGACCAGAGGTCCTGGTCTCAGCGATGCCAAGTGTGAAGAGAAGGGGTGAGATGTCCTACTAAAGGCTACCAGCCTCCTTCCCCACCCACCTCCAGGGTACCAGAATCAGGCTTATGCCTGCACCCTGCACTAACCCCATGCAAAGACTGAAGTATCTTTTCCCTGAAGGAATTAACCCCAAAGAAATGATTGCCAGTTGCTTATGCTCAGGGGTCTGCAGCAGATAAGCTGGTGGGAGCAACTGAGTGTCCAGTTCCTCCCACGCCACACTCAGGCACTTCCTGCCTCCAACCCGCCCTGCGGTGGGGAACCCTTAAACACGAACACACAGCCAGGGATCACGGACACTTGAGGGACACTTTCTCTCATTATTCCAAGAAGATATGAACCAACAGGAAATGGAGATTATGCAGGGAGCAGAATACAAGTTTGAAGAAACCATAACTGATATCCTTAGAGAGATACAAGAACATATTGCACCCATGAAAAATAAGAGTCAAATCAAAAAGAAATAGAGAAAAAGAATGAACGCTTATAAGTAAAAATCCTGATGGTAGAAATCTTCAAAAATATCAAGAGTTGGAACTTCCTCTGGAAATATAACAAAGAGAGACGAAGACATGAAGGAGAGAAGAGGCAGGAGAGAAAGCGTACGCAATTAGAGGATCAGGCGGGGTGTGGTGACTCATGCTTGCAATCCCAGCGTTCGGAGGCTGAGGTGGGAGGATTGCTTGAGGCCAGGAGTTTCAGACCAGCCTGGACAACAGAGTAGGACCACATTTCTACAGAAAATAAATTAGTTGCACGTGGTTGTGCACCTGTACTCCTAGCTTCTACTGGAGGCTGAGACAGGAGAATCATTTGAGCCCAGGAGTTTGAGACTGTGGTGAGCCCTGATTCACCATAGTACTCCAGCCTGGGTGACAGAGCAAGACCTGTATCTGAAAATATATACGTATTATTAAGGAATAAATCCAGGAGGTCCAACATTTAGCTAATAGGAGTCCCAGAAATGGAGAGAGGAAGGAATGAAATTGTCAAGGAAATAATACAAGAAAATTTCCCGGAATTAAAGGACATGTGTTCCTAGATGGCAAGATCCACCGTGTATCCAACTCAATCAGTGAAAAAAAAATCCACATCCCGGCTCATGATGACACCCTTTCATATGCAGGCATCAAGGCAGCTCTGTGAGGTGTCTGGAGAGAGCTGGCTGGGACTGCAATGAGACCAGTGAGGCACTGGCCTTGTGGGTAAAATTTAAGGGGGCACCAAAAAACTCAGTGATCAAGATAAAAAGATTAATGCACTATTTAAAAAAGAGGCCAGGTGTGGTGGCTCCAGCCTGTAATCCCAGCACTTTGGGAGGCCGAGGTGGGTGGATTACTTGAAGTCAGGAGTTCAAGATCAGCCCTGCCAACATGGTGAAACCCCATCTCTACCAAAACACAAAAATTAGCTGGGCATGGTGATGCACATCTGTAATCCCAGCTACTCAGGAGGCGGAGGCAGAGAATCACTTGAACCTGGGAGTTGGAGGTTGCAGTGAGCAGAGATTGCACCACTGCACTCCAGTCTGGTGACAGAGAAAGACTCTGTCTCAAAAAAAAAAAAAAAAAAAAAAAAAAAAAGGGAAAGTAACCCATGATAAACAAACAGCAAAATTTTAAGTAAAGACATGATCTGGCAAAACTGGGATTTGGGCAAGGTGAGTGAGGTTGAGCTGAGTGACTGCAGGTTCAGATCCCATCTTTATTTGAAGTTGGCATTTCAGTGGCTGAATTTTTTGGCACTCCCTTGCGTGCCTGCATCTCAGGTATGTGCTTCACTCACTTCCTCCTAGTCCATGCAAAGGAAGCCTCTGGAGTGGCTATGGCATCAAGCTGCTCAACAGCGACATTGAAAGTTTGAAGACAAGGAAGCAATGCCTTTCAAAAATCTGACTGAGACTGGCTCATTAGCGGTGGCTCATGCCTGTAATTTCAGCACTTTGGGAGGCTGAGGTGGGTGGATCACTTGAGGTCAGGCATTGGGGACCAGCCTGATCAACACAGTGAAATCCTGTCTCTACTAAAAATACAACAATTAGCCAGATGTGGTGGCACAGGCCTGTAGTCCCAGCTGCTCGGGAAACTGAGGCAGAATTGCTTGAACCTGGGAGGCCAAGATCGCACTACTGCTCTCCGGCCTGTGTGACAGAGTGAGACTCCAACTAAAAAAAAAAAAAAAAAATTCTGCCTGAAAATGTTTTTCCACCTGGTATTCCACACCAACCCAGACTGTCAATTAAATATGATGGGAGAAATAAAGAGCTTTCTAGACATACTGTGTCTTCAGATAACTTGCCTCCCATGTAGCTTTCTTAGGGAACTACTGAAGGATGCGTTTAATTTAAATCAGGGCTTCAAGAAAGAAGATAGATCCAGGAACAAGGATTGCAACACAGGAGGGAAGAGAGAAGGGAATTCTTTGGGCCGTGGCTCCAGGGACACCAGAAGACAGCTATGTTTTGGACCTGAGAGCAAGCTGCCCAGATCAGCAGGAGTCAGAAGGCTCTACGGGCTGGGGGAGTTTGTCCTCAGGAAAATAACTTGGCCTAACAAATGATCTGACAGGTTTGCTCATGTGGAAAATGATATTGAGGGCATGGAAAGATTTCATCAATTGTTTTCAACGACAACAACAAGCAGATGTAAGTTGATGAAAAATGAGGTGATTGTTAGGAGGGGGAACACAAAGGAAAGGAAGTAAGATCGTCGGGTGCTACTTGGCCCAGGCATAAAATATATTTTTGTATTCATAAAAATGAAAATGTGGAATGTGGATTTTAAAAGATTGAGATATTATTTTGGGAGCATGGAGGGAGGGGAAGAGGGAATGGAACGAAATTTCTCTAAACACACCAAGGCTTAGATGACAAGCCAAGAGATTGAATAATATACATATTATTTAGTTTTGTTTTATTCATTTATTTATTTAGAGACAGGGTCTCACTCTGTCACCCAGGCTGGGGTGCCGTGACGCGATCTTAGCTCACTGACACCTCCATCTCCTGGGCTCAAGTGATCCTCCTGCCTCTGCCTTTCTAGTAGCTGGGACTACAGGTGTGTGCCACCGCACTCAGCTAATTTTTGTATTTTTAATAGAGATGAGGTTTTGACATACTGCCCAGGCTGGTCTTGAACTCCTGGCCTCAAGTGATCTTACCTGCCTTGTTCCCTCAACCTCACTTCCTGAATTCCTGTCCTTATGGAACCTTCTGGGAAGCTCTGGCCTTTGTCTCTGACACCACCGGACTCTGGTGTCCTTACCCTCTGTGTGGACACACTGTGTATTAGCACAATGGCTCATGGCACAAACACCATTTCAGGGACATCGAGTAATTCCGTTTTGGGATCTGTGCCGAGATGGTTTCTGTGGCTTTGCTTGGTTTCTAAACAAAAGTTATTTAGGTGGGAACAGATTCAACTTGAGGTTTTCATGATTTTCACACGACCTTTAAATACCCCTGATTTGCAGTTTCCTTCTTTCTCTAATGAAAAACTGGATGGTCTTGTTAAAAAGAAACTTAATGTGATGCTGTTGGCCTGCAAATCTCCTAGCCTCCCTCTCTCCATTTCATTGGCTCCCACCCTCTCCTGCCTGCCTCCGTTGGCTGCTCCACCCACCCTCTAACCCGGGAGTCCTCAGCTGGCCTCCATCCACTGCTCCGTCCGTGGGAATGGCTCGCTCAGAATTTACCAAGGCCTTCCCGGTAGCCACATCCAGAGACCTTGTGCAATTTCTTTCTTCAGGCTGAATTTAACTTGTCTTCTAGAAATGTTCTACTCTGGCTTTGGGACACAAAAGAAGCCTACTTATTTGTTCCCTAAGGTTCACTTCTTGCTTTTTTTTTTTTTTTTTTTAAACTTTATTGCTTTTATTCTTTATGCCGTTAATGACTGCTTCTATGTGGATTATTTTCTTAGCTCTCTTCCCATTTCATGCCAGTGTCTCCCTGGAGTCCTACTTTTGAGACCTGATGGACTCCAGGGTGTTTTCTCCGAGACGTCTTGAAGGTGCCTCACCTCTAAGACAGACCCAGCCATCTGTCCTGGCTCCCCGATTCACTCCCTGCCTTAATCCATGGCACTTGAAACCCTGGAGGCGTCTCCCCATTCATTACTGCCCTCCCTTCAGCTTTTACATCATGAGCCAGTCTACACCCTCTGATCTAATCAGAGTGGTCTTCACACTATCCCTAAATGTGCAGTCACTCCTGTGTTATGCCTGAAATATCTGGGAGGGCACACTGTCGCAGTCACATTTATTGAAAAGAGAGCCTTCGTGTGAACCCATTATATATTTGCTCAGAGACCAAGGATAGCGCAAAGCATCCCGTATCCCATCGGCCTCCCAAAGCCGGGCCATAGACTGTGTGTATGGCCTCATCACTGTGCAGAGGACCTGTCCTTCTTTTTGGGGTCAGCTTGCCCAAAGGTGTGTGCAGGGGGAGTGGTACTTCTAGGCTCACAGTTCAGCCCTTTCTTCAGAGTCTTGGCTCCACCCTGCAGAGGAAATGTTAGAGCCTTAAGAATTTAAATGCTTCTCACGCCTGTAATCCCAGCACTTTGGGAGGCCGAGGCGGGTGGATCATGAGGTCAAGAGATCGAGACCATCCTGGTCAACATGGTGAAACCCCGTCTCTACTAAAAATACAAAAACTTAGCTGGGCATGGTGGTGCGCGCCTGTAGTCCCAGCTACTTGGGAGGCTGAGGCAGGAGAATTGCCTGATCCCAGGAGGTGGAGGTTGCCGTGAGCCGAGATCACGCCATTGCACTCCAGCCTGGGTAACAAGAGCGAAACTCCGTCTCAAAAAAAAAAAAAAAAAAAAAAAAAAAAAGAATTTAAATGCTTCAGATTCTTAGAGTATGTCTACAACAAATCAACTATTCTCTTGCTCCTGTGATGCATTATTATGCTAATAAAGTGTCTTTTTACTTAATCTTGCCAAGGAGACACTCTCCTCAAGGATGGGGAGGGGAGGCACGTTCCATCCCACCGTGCATCTCATACTCTTCCCCGCTAGTTTCCTGGTTTAGGCTGTTCTGGTCACTGGTCATCTATTTGGGATATCTGCTTCTCTCCCATCACTGTAATAACAATCTACATATTCTCCAAGGTAGGGAGATCTTAACCACTTTTGTGCCATGGGTGCCATTTAGTGGTTTTATAAAGCCTATTAGACCTCTCTTCAAAAAAACGATTTTAAAGACATAAAATACAGAGGATTATAAAAGAAACTGAAAGCAGTTACTAAGATATTCAAAAAACCAAATTTGTGATGTGAGAATACTGTCCTTCTTTATTAACACATAAAAAAACCACTATAATTTTTTTTCTTTCCTTTTCTTTTTCTTTTTTTGTGTCTCTGTCGCCCAGGCTGGAGTCCAGTGGCACGATCTGGCTCACTGCAGCCTCCAACTCTTGGGCTCAAGAGATATTCCCACCTCAGCCTCCTGAGTACCTGGGACCACAGGCACACGCCACCACATCTGGCTAAATTTTTTATTTTTTGTAGAGATGAGGTGTTGCCCAGGCTGGTCTCAAACTCCTGGTCTCAAGTGATCCACCTGCCTCAGCCTCCCAAAGTGCTGGGATTACAGGTGTGAGCCACCATGCATGGCCAGAAAGCCACTACAATTTCAAAGTACTGTAGTGATGTACATGAATGATATTTTGTTCCTCTCTCCAATATCTGCAGTGTTACATGTGATGGGAAAGTATCCTTACATCTGCTTTTGTGGTTTGTAGACTACATTTATAAAGGAAGAAAATGGGAAGTTTCAGTTAGAGATCAGTGACTCTGAAGACATAAATTTTTCCTCATCTAAGTCTTCTGCCCACGAATTCTGTGAGTTCTTAATGGGAGGTCCCCATCGAGGACCTTAACTCCTGCTTCCTTAATTAAACCCTCCTTGACTACCACATTTCTGCTTGGAGTTTTCCCTCATGTTAAACTCTTAGAACATCTATTTGTCTATTCATTCAACAAACATTGATCAAGATTGCTCATACATGTGCAAATCACTGTGCCGGATGTGGGAAGCCCACATAATGCTAAGCAGGAACCAATTTTACCAGTAGTGGAAGACACAGACCTATGCCCATCCAGTCATAACCCTAAACATAGCGCAAAAAGCAGATGGGAGAGCTTTAAACAAAGGTCCAAAGTGTCCCAGAGAAGCAGAAGTTAACATTTTGACTTGGTGAAGAGATGGAGGAGTGAAAGTTTCCATGAGGAAATTGGCATTTGAGCTTGGCCTGGTAGAGGGAGTAGGATAAAAACAATTTCCTCATCGTTTAATTAGATCTTGCTGGTATTTTTCCTTTTTCTGTCCTGCCACAAGTAAATACAAAGCTCCTAGCAGGTGGAGATCACATCTGTTTTTTCTTTTTTGAGACGGAGTTTCACTCTTGTAACCCAGGCCGGAGTGTAATGGCGCGATCTCAGCTTACTGCAACCACTGCCTCCCGGGTTCAAGCAATTCTCCTGCCTCAGCCTCCCGAATGGCTGGGATTCCAGGTATCCGCCACCACACCCAGCTAATTTTTGTATTTTTAGTAGAGACTGGGTTTAACCATGTTGGCCAGGCTAGTCTCAAACTCTTGATCTCAGGGAGTCCACCTGCCTCGGCCTCCCAAAGTACTGGGATTACAGGTGTGAGCCACCCCTGCTGGGCTGAGATTGCATCTTAACATCCTTGTTGATTAATAGCATTTTTGTAGAATGTAAGTTTCTGTATCAGTCAGTTTGTGCTGTGCAACAAACCACCCCCAAAACCATGGCTTTAAATGACAATCCGTTCTTTCTCATGGGTTTATGGGTAGTTCTGCTGACCTGGGTCAGGACTGGCTGTTGGTAATTGGGCTCTGTGGTCACTGGCAGCTTGGCCAGAGGCTGGCTGGTCCAGGGTGGCCTTGGCTGGGATGACTTGGTTGTCCTCTTCTTTCTCAAGTTGTGTTTGCATCCAGTTTGCTGCTGTACCATTGGCCAAAGCAAGTCACAGTGTCAAGCACAGTCAGTGTGGGAGGAAACTGCCCGAAGACAAGAGAACAGGGAGGTATAAAAAAATGCAGCCATTCATAGAATCAATCCACCCTCGTCTTCACAACTTAAATCTTTAGGCTTAAGCCCTTCATGGAATGGGACACATCTAAATCAATAAAAAGAAGCATACATAAAAATAGTTAAAGTACAGGGTGGCAATTTATCAATTCAGCTAGTGATGGGTCTTCTCCCGTGGCTATACCCTAAACGTCTGAAGAATGTTATCCACAGAGGTTGGCTGAACCATCCTTTTATTATTTTTTAACCAGGATGCAAACCCATTGAATTGTCTTTTCATGTTTGATGTTCCATCAGTTAAGCATCCCACACAATTTTTCATAGAGATGTTTTCTTTCTCCCTGAGGACATTTGCAAGAGTCCAGAACGCACTTTTCCTGGTGCTGAATTCTAAGTTGCTATAAATATCAGACATTCTGTCAGCAGCTCAGGGTCACAGCTTAGGTTTGCTGAGCCAACATGGCTTGCCCCTCTGGCTTGAGTTGTGTTGGTTAGAGGCAGTGACTAAGCAGGCAAAATGAAGTGCAGAATCCAGGTGAGAAAATGTGTTTTCTGAGTAATTGGGCAAAACATCTATGTGTGTGGGGCCAAGTTTATTCATAAGGGCAGTGTTGAGCTTGGTGTGTGAAGTCATGAAGACCTGAGTGTGAATCCTGGTTCACCTTTTATGAGCCATGTGACCTCCAGCAGGTGGCTTAAATCTCTGAGCTCCAATTTCCCCTTATCTGTGAAATGGAAGGAATGCACATAGACTGACCTCTCAGTTTGTGACGAGGATTAAATGAGCTGCTTTGCTTATAAAGTAAGTGCTCAATAAGGGTTCAGTGTTATTTATTTCTTTTTTTTTTGAGACAGAGTCTTGTTCTGTCACCAGGCTGAAGTGAAATGGTGTGATCTCTGCTCACTGTAACCTCCGCCTCCCAGGTTCAAGCAATTCCCCTGCCGCAGTCTCCCAAATAACTAGATTACAGGCGTGCACCACCATGCCCAGCTAATTTTTTATATTTTTAGTAGAGATGGGGTTTTACCATGTTGGCCAGGATGGTCTCAATCTCTTGACCTTGTGATCCACCTGCCTCGGCCTCCCAAAGTGCTGGGATTACAGGTGTGAGCCACTGTACCTGGCCCAGTGTTATTTCTTACAGAGTGTAAAATAGTTACCAATAGTTGGAATAGAGTTCCCTGTTAGTTCAGAAAAGAGAGCCAAAGAGGCTTGCCTTTTGACTTTTGTCTTGCTGCTAGAGAGAGGACCAGATGAACCTCAGTTTTCTCATCAATAGCCTAGATTCACATTGTCCTGCACTAAATTCACAGTCTTGTTTTGACAATCAAATAGTGTATTGCACAAGGAATTCCTTTACAAAAATAATTTAAAATCCCCTTGAACAGATACTGCATTATCTCACTAATACGTGGAATATAAAAATGTCAGAAGCTTAGGAGCAGAGAGTAGAATGGCGGTTGCCAGGGGCTGGAGGATGGGGGATGTGAGAACAGGTTGGTCTAAGGGTACGAAGTTTCAGAGATGCAGAATATGTTCTGGAGATCTAATCATGACTACAATTAACAATAATGTATCGTGTATTTGAAATTTGCTGAGAATAGGTCTTTTTTATTTTAAATTATTTTATTTTTATTTCTGTTACAGTTAAGGTATAGATAAATATTTTTTTGAAATTGTATGGGTAAGTAGCCTACATTACCTATGAGTTTCATTTTAGGATGTAAAGGAAATGTTATGAAATATTGTTTATAGAAAGGAATCACTCTGTCTGATATGCTTGGAATGCTCTGATGTAGTGAAGTTATTTGTGGACTCCTATTTTCTGTAGCAAAACACTACAGATTAAGACTGTGCCTATTAAAAATTGAAATCCTTCAACTTGGCTGAAGTTTACTACTAATTTCTAAGAAAAAAGAATTTTCTGATCAAATGATAGAGAATAGGTTTTAATTATTCTCACCAAAAAAAAAAAAAAAAAAAAAAAAAAAAAGACGTTGGGAAGCTGAGGTGGGCCGATTGCTTGAGCCTAGGAGTTTGAGACCATCCTAGGCCATACGGTAAAACTCCTCCTCTACTAAAAATACAAAAAAATTAGCCAGGTGTGGTGGTGTGTACCTGTAGTCCCACCTAGTTGAAAGACTGAGGCAAGAGGATTGCTTTAGCCCGGGAGGTTGCAGTGAGCTGAGATCACGTCATTGCATTCCAGCTTGGACAACAGAGTGATACGCTGTCTTAAGGAAAAAAAAGATTAAGAAACTCTGTGAGCTGATGGATTTGTTAGATTATCGGCTGTGTGTGGTGAGCATTTTGCAATATATACACATATCAAAAATCACATTGTACAGTTTAAGTATAGATAATTTTGTCAGTTACACCTCAATCAAGCTGGGGGAGAAAAGAAGACTTTTCTTCTTTTCTCTCAGCTGCTTGGGAGGCTGTGATTGAGGCAGGAGAATCCCTTAAGCCCAGGGGTTTGAGACCAGCCCGAGCAACATAGTGAGCTCCTGTCTCTAAAAAAATAAAAAAATAATAAAAAAGAGTGATGTGATTTGACATAGGACCTGTGGTTTGAATATTTGTTTTTTGGTTTAAGTATGTTATGGTGGTCATATTTTTAGTTACATTGTGCCCATAAAAACAATGTTTTAAATCCAGCAAAAATAAAAATAGAAAATCCCCTTGAATAAATTTGAGGTAATGCTGTAGTTTTCGGCTCTTCCATGGGAGGTTTTACAGAGTGCCTACTCTGTGCTACCCAGGTGCTGCTCCTGTTGTTGGTGGCAGCACCCGGGAGAAATTAAAATTATAAGAGTGTTTCCTTCCAGATGTTGTTGCTACAGGCTCAAGGTGCTCTTTTAACTGGGTCATCAGACTTTCTTGAAATAGACAAGAATTCTAGAAACATGACATTGTGCCTGATTCATTGCTTAAAACTTGCCACTGACTCATTCTCTCCTTGATAGGTTCTTCAACAGTAACTTTAATTACATCATTTACTTATTGTTTTCTTCCTTGATTTATTCTCTTTCTACAGTTCTTGTTTATCATCTCAGTGATTGGGCCATCTCACCTCTGAGATTTGGGTAGAATCCTCTAGACTCTGGAAATAGAAACTGACTTTTTCATGTATCTCCATTATTGTGTACAAACAACCCCAGGCTTGTACACTTGAAATACATCAGTAGGAAGAGCACTTCTCACTTTGCTAGTGTTTCACACAGCTTATCTTATTTAAGGAGCTCAGCTGCTGTACAAAGTAGATACTAGAGGCTCTGAGAGGGGACTGTAACTTACCCAAGATCATGTGGTAGATTGCAAAATGAGCTCCAAATGTCCACCCTTCCCTGTACCCACACCTTTTGACATTCATCTACAATGTCATTTTCTGATTCTGAGCTCAGCAATATAACTTGCTATGTCCAATAGGATAATAATGGCAAGCATAATGTAAGCAAAACCTTGGAAAATACTTGTGCAACTAATCATGATTGCCTTCTCTCTTGTACACCTTCCATGGCCATGAGAATATGCTTAGGGTAGAATTAGAGACACTTGGAGCAGAGCTGAGTCATCCTAGCTGTTCCAGCTGAGGCCAGCCTAGGTCAGTTGACCCAGCCCTAAGCATGTTAATGAACCCAGCCATGATCAGCAGAACCACCTAGCCAACCATCCCAGACCTGTGAGCAATAAAGCCTTACTATTCTATTCCACTGAGGTTTTGTGATTATTTATTTCACAGCATTATTAAAGCAGTTTGTAACTGATAGAATCAGTATACAGGAAAGAATATGTGTTAGTTTGTTTTCATGCTGCTGATAAAGACATACCCAAGACTGAGCCATTTACAAAAGAAAGAGGTTTCATGGACTTACAGTTTTATGTGGCTGGGGAGGCCTCAGGATCATGGTGGAAGGTGAAAGTCACGTCTCACATGGCAGCATACAAGAGAAGAAGGGCTTGTGCAGAGAAACTCCCATTTTAAAAATCATCAGATTCATGATACTTATTCACTACCATGAGAATAGTCTGGGAACGTCCTGCCCCCATGATTCAATTACCTCCCACCATGTCCCTCCCACAACAAGTGGGAATTTTTAAGATGAGGTTTGGGTGGGGACACAGCCAAATTATATCAGAGCAGATCTCTGGAATTGGGCAGACCAAGGTTTGAATCCCAGCTCTGCTACTTGGAGTGTGTGTTTCTTTTTGAGACTTAAATTCCTTATCCTTGAAATGAGGTAATGTACTTCCCTCATAGGGTTGCTGGAAAGATTAAACACAAGGTGAAATAAATAAAACCCCAGGGACATAAACAAAAAATGATGGCTTCTCGCAGCAATGCTCCAGAACAAATGAGGGGATACTGGGCCCAGTCCCAGGACTGTCCAAGTGTGAAGCCAACACCTTTTCCCATCAACTCCAAGGTAGAAATTAAGAACAAAATGGCCTGGTTCTAATCTTACCATGAAATGCTGTGTCCCTGGATCTTCCATTGCAGTATAGAGAGCAGGACAGGCCTTTAAAAAATTAATGTTGCTTAAATTTAGGGGGCTGGGAAAAAAAAGCCAAATCCAAGATTTTCCTTTAGACCTCTGGTTTTGCCAAACAGATGGCAGTGATTTGGGGAAGAAGGGTTGCTTTCGCCTGGGTATGGGTGTGTTTCAGATCAAAGTCCTCCTGGTGCGGTTGGGTGCAGGGGCTGGCCTGGCTGCATTTGCCCTGACTCTGTTGGTTGCCCTCCTGCTTGCACATGCATTTTTGATGACGGATCATTCAGGAAATGTGAATGCTTTCCTAGGAGGCTGTGCTTTTGTCACCTGGCCGTCTTTTCTGGGCCCCCCGTAGGGCTGCCCTTTCACTTCCTTTGAAGCCATTGTCTTCTTGACATAAAAAGTGTACTCAGGTAAGCTTGTGGTTAATTATCTCAAGGGGGAAGAGAAAACAAAATAAATGCAAGTCTGAAATATAGAACAATTAACTCTGTAAACTGTGAGAAGTCATAAGACACTCTTTGAAAATTAAAAATACATACACATTTGAAATAGTTTCATTTTAAGCAGAATTAAGTTGGGATGTTTCCTACACGATTTATCTTCCTTCTCTCCCCTTCCACTCCCACCCCAGATGGATCACTTCCTTTTATCATCTCTGATGCTGACGAAGGGTGACGATAGTTAGCTGCACTGCACTCTGCCTCTAACTCATTGTGTGACCTTGGATAAGTTACATAGCATTTCTGAGCTTCTGCTTCACATCAGTAAGATGATATTGCTATTATACTTCTTTAAATTTTTTTGGTACTGTAAAACAATAATTTATTATCTCTTACAGTTCCATGGGCTGACTGGACTCCACTGGGAGTTCTTGGTGTCTCTCATGTGGTTGGGTGAGATAGTGACTGGGACGGACTCATCTGAAGGCTTGAGTGGGCCGGATGCCCAAGATGGCCCACTTTTAGGCAGAGGTGGCTGGCAGTTGATGCTGACTGTTAGCTGAGAGTGTTAACTGGAGTCCCTAGACATGGCTTCTCCACATGGCTTGGGCTTCTCATGGTAGGGCACCTGGATTCTGAGAGAGAGCCTCCCAAGAGGCCCAAGTGGAAGCAATAAGGCTTCTTATGATGTAGACTGGAGTTACTGAGACATCACTTTTGCTACATTAGAAGGTTTGATGCTGACATTTTATGATTTTACAACTTGGATCCTCTGTCTTCTGCTATTGAATCAGAACTAGTTTACGGGGCTGAGCAGCTGGTCCTGGGCACAGAGGAGGCTGTTCCTCTGAGCTTGTGACCACATGGGAATTGTCATCTACCAGTGCTGTCTGCATCCTGGCTGTGCCTACCTATGGGCTCTGAATCTCTGTCCCTCAGTCTCCTCAACCCCAACACAATTGTGATGTTAGGTATGTATGAGGCATATGAAGATGAGAAAAAGAAGATACAGTTCCCACGTTTATCTCCATGAGAAAATAAGCCTTAGGGAGAAAGACTGATGTGCATGAGAGGGAGTGTCAAATGCCAAATGGGTGTCACAGTCAGGGTGTGCTAGAGGCATTCAGGGGAAGGAGGGCTGGGAGTAGAGTCTTTCTGGAAGAGGTGACCCTTGATCTGAATCTTGAAATCTGTCTGAATCTTCACACCCAGGGAAGGAGTGGGAAGGGTATTTCACGGGAGAGAGCCACATGAGTGAAGTATGAGGCCTGGCATGGCAGGGAATAGCAACCCGCCTGGGTGACCACAGAGTAACACGAGAGGTGAGAGGTGGTGAGAGATGGGAGCCAGAGATGCAGGCAGGGCCCAGGGTCATGCAGAGCCTGGGAGGACAGGTTGCAGTATTCCCATTTTCCTAGACTAGGGCAGAGAAGCTCGGGAAGATAAAGGGACTTGACTAAGGTCACATAACTTGTAAGTGACCAGTCAGGCTTCAAACCCAGGACCCTGTGCTGCCTCGGTCTCATCCCCTTTGCGTCATAGTTAGCATCATCTCAATTGCAGTTGTTGCTGCTGGGTTTCCCAGCTCCCTCTCCTGTTTCTCTGTGGCTCCTGGCAGACAAAGGGTGTTGCTTTTCTGCACCATTTATCGTAATGACTTCAATTAAACCATCTTGTGCTGGATCAGTGAGCAGCTCTAGGGAATTGATGAGCAGGGCCAGCTACCAGGGAAGCAGAGTCTCCTCCCATTGTCCCTGTCAATCCTAGGTCTGGGTTCCTGTCCCCAGGTCTGGGGAAGACTCAAGAGAAAAAATGGGGATCAGGGGGCAGGTAGCAAATCATAAGAGACAAGGAAGCAAGTGTCTATTACCTTCCTGACATTGAGGGTTCGTGGCCAGGTCTTTGACGTCCTAGCCCTGCCCACTGCTGCCCTTGCTCAGCTGCCTTCCTCTGGCTAATTTGGACCTGCAGCTGCAGCTCCAAGACAATGGGCCATCCCACCTGGCTGCCTTCGGTGCAGGCCCAGTGTGCCAGGAGCCCGGGTTGCAAGGAGAGGGGCTAAGGGCCCTGTCCTAACTTGCTACATGGCCTTTGGCAAGTTTCCTCCACTCTCTGAGGCTTCTTTGGGGAATTGCAGTACATGATGCTGTTGTTCTCCACTTGTTCTCTTCAATTCGTTGTCTCTCCTTCTTAGCATTGCTCTGTGCCTCAGAAGGCTGATCCCTGGGGAATGAATCAGTGGGTTCCTGCGTCAGTTGGCTCCGGTATGATTTGGCTATGAGGAGACACAGGCAGGAGGCTGGAAGGTGGGAAAAGAGAGGGTGGAGTATTTCTTCCCTGCTACATCTCTGCTTTGAAGCAGGGTTGGGTCAGTGCCCTTCTGCCCAGCGGTCCTTCCCCTGCTCCAGGCCTCATTGGGCTTCAGTAACCTCCTTTAGGCCCCTGGGTGGTTTCTAGCATGATATGGTTTGGATCTGTGTCCCTGCCCAAATTTCATGTGGGGCCTGGTGTAATTGTATCATGGGGCAGTTTTAATGCTTTAGCACCATTCCCCTAGTGTTGTTCTCAAGATAGAGTTCTCATGAGGTCTGGTTGTTTAAACATGTGTAGCACCTCCACCCTCTCTCTCTTCCTCCTGCTCTGGCCATGTGAAGACGCCTGCTCTGGCTTTGCCTTCTGCCATGATTGTAAGGTCCCTGAGGCCTCCCCAGAAGCAGATGCTACCATGCTTCCTGTACATACAGAACTGTGAGCTAATGAAACCTCTTCTTTTTTCTTTTTTTTTTTTTGAGACAGAGTCTGGCTCTTGTGGCCCAGGCTGGAGTACTGTGGCATGATTTCTGCTCACTGCAACCTCCGTCTCCTGGGTTCCAGCAATTCTACTGCCTCAGCCTCCCGAGGAGCTGGGATGATAGGTGTCTACCACCATAACTGGCTAATTTTTGTATTTTTAGTAGAGACTTGGTTTCACCGTGTTGGCCAAGCTGGTCTTGAACTCCTGAACTCAATTGATCTGCCTGTCTCAGCCTCTCAAAGTGCTTGGATTATAGGCATGAGTCACCACACCTGGGCCTCTTTTCTTTATAAATAACCTAGTCTCAGGTATTCCTTTACAGCAACGTGAGAACGGACTAATACACAGCAGTTTGCAGTCTCTGGGTTTCTCAACATTCTTCTTGGTTTCTTTAATCCATCCCTCTGTAAATAGTCCCTCCTCAGTAAAGTCTCCTCAGTTGAACTATTTGAGGAGAGTTCTGTTTCCTTTTGTGACATTGATGTGTTCTCTGAAGGCCCTTTCCAGCTCTGAAGTCTCACATGTTAGTGAGGGGAAGATGCAAGGACCTGGCTGATTCTCAGGCACTGGAGCCTGGGTTATCCTACGACAGTGCCCAGGATGAGTGATCCCAGTCCCTCGGCAGGTCTTCCTTCCCCTCCTTTGGTCCTCAACCTTCACTCAGATTCCCATCAGTTGTTTCGTGTTTTAATCCAACTGTATTGAGGTATAAACTATGAATAACAAATTACATTCATGGAAAGTATACAATTAGATGAGTACCTGTCCGTTAAGGATGTTTGTGTCCCTCCAAATTCATGTTGAAACTCAATCCCTGGCCAGGCGCAGTGGCTCATGCCTGTAATCCCAGCACTTTGGGAGGCCAAGGTGGATGGATCATGATGTCAGAGATCAAGACCAGCCTGGCCAAGATGCTGAAAACCCACCTCTACTAAAAATACAAAAATTAGCCTGTTGTGGTGGCGTGTGCATGTAAATCCAGCTACTTGGGAGGTTGAGGTAGGGAATTGGTTGAACGTGGTAGGCAGAGGTTGCAGTGAGTTGAGATCACACCATTGCATTCCAGCCTGGGCAACACAGCAAGACTCCATCTTAAAAATAAAAAAAAGAAAGAAACTTAAAACCCCATGTGGTGGTATTAACAGGTGGGGCCTTTTGGGAGGTGATTAAGTCATCAGTGTTCTGTCCTTGGGAATAGGATTAATGCTCTTGTAAAAGAGGCTTGGGAGAGCTGCCTGCCCCTTCTCATCCTTCTGCCATGTGAGGACAAGGCGTTCATCCCCTCTGGGGGGCGTAGGAACAAGGTGTCATCTTGGAAGGAGCGAGCAAGCCCTCACCAGACACTGAATCTACCGGCACCTTGACCTCCAGGACTGTGAGAAATACATTTCTGTTATTTATAAATTATCAATTCTAAGGCTTTTTGTTATAGCAGCAGAAATGGACTAAGACAGGATTCTTTCTATCCAGGACTATTCTAACAACTTTCCAACTGGACTCCAATCTTCATTCTTCTCCCTACAAACTTGCACTCTTCAGATCTGATCATATTACTCTCTGATCATGTTCCTGTCCTGCTCATAAAACCTGGCTGGTGCCCCTTTGCCTTGAGGTCAAACCCTGGCTGGTACTCTGTGACCTTGAGGTCAAGCCCTGGCTGGTGCTCTTTGACCTTGAGCATGACATATGAAGCCTTCATGAACTGGACTTGAGCGCTCCAGGCTCACTTCTCACCGACATCCTGTAGATGCTCCAGCTGTCATGAGTCATACTCTCTCCAAGCTCTCTGCCTTTGCCTGAACTATTCCCAGACCTAATGTGCTCTGCAGCCTCACACCTCTGACCCTCAGCGTCTCTGTGTGTCTCACTAATTCTGCTTTGTCCTGGCCATTGCGAGTCTCTCCTCTGCGCTTCCATAGTACATTGCAGGTTCTTCTCTTGTTACTTTTATCCTGAACCATAAACAATGCCTGTTATCTTACTAGAGTGTGGGCCACTTGAGGTTAGAGCATGTGTCTCATTTCTGCACCCCTAGATACTAATACTGTATGTGGTGTATCATTCATTTTCCATCCATCCATTCAACAAATATTTGATGATCTACTAGAGGCCGAGCGCTCTTCCAGCACGGGGCTAAAGCACTGTACAAGATAGGTGTACTAATCATTCTGCTGTTGTATCTCTGCTCCAAATCCCACCTTTTTTTTTTTTTTTTTTCGAGACAGGGTCTCACTCTGTCACGCTGGCTGGAGTGTGGTGGTGCAATCTTGGCTTGCTGCAACCTCCACCTCCTGGGTTCAACCAATTCTCCTGCCTCAGCTTCCCAAGTAGTGGGATTACAGGTGTTTGCCACCACACCCAACTAATTTTTGTATTTTTAGTAGATTTTTACTACTCTCCCTTTATTGGTTTGTCTGTCTACCTCAGCTGGAATTTGAGGTCCATGAGCCCATGGGGTTTCACCATGTTGATCAGGCTGGTCTTGAACTCCTCACCTCAAGTGATCTGCCCGCCTCAGCCTCCCAAAGTGCTGGGATTACAAGAGTGAGCCGTTGTATCTGGCTCAAATCCTACCTTTTAATGCTCTCTTTGTGATGCTGGGGCTGGTATATCCTTTGACATGGGATTTTCAGTTTTCATCAGCAGTGACACTAGCCGGATACTGGAAGGCAGAAAGAGGAAGCAGGAAACTGATCCTTCCTTTTTGCTTCCTCTATGCTTGCCAGGGTTGTACCAGCAATGGCCCTTCTACCTCGTGGCAGAAGCTGGCTCTAGTTTCTAGCTCCTTTCACCACTCCCAGAACCAGCCTTCCCATGCCACCTTAGAGGTGAGTGAGTGGCAGCTGGGTGATTTCCCCTCAGAAGGCTGGCTCCTAGCTCTATGGGTTCTTTCTAGATGGGTTTTTGTCATGTTGCCCAGGCTGGTCTTGAACTCCTGAGCTCAGGCAATCCACGCAACTCGGCCTCCTGAAGTGCTAGGATTATAGGCATGAGCCACTGCACCTGGCCATTGTTTGTTTTTGAAATGGAGTCTGTCACCCAGGCTGGAGTGCAGTGATACAATCTTGGCTCACTGCAACCTCTGCCTCCCAGGTTTAAGTGATTCTCCTGCTTCAACCTCCTGAGTAGCTGGGATCACAGGCGCCCACCACCATGTGCGGCTAATTTTTGTATTTTTAGTAGAGATGGGGTTTCGCCATGTTGGCCAGGCTGGTCTTGAACTTCTGACCTCAAGCGATCCTCCTGCCTTCATCTCCCAAAGTGCTGGGATCACAGGCATGAGCCACCGTACCTGGTCCTAGCACATAGATTCTGACAACACACATTGCTTCTTGTGATTATTACCTCGGTCTTACTTCAGTGTTCGCTTTTAGATTTTTCCTCTCCCTCTAATATGTTAGATTTAAACTAACTCCTTTTATTAAATAACACCTCTGAAATATCTAGGGCAGCTCCTATTCTCCTGGCTGGACCCTGACTCCATGGGGAAGGCCCCTGGCCTTGTGGACCTTAAATTCCAGGTGAGGAAGGTAGACAACAAACCAATAAAGGGAGAGGAGTAAAAAGTGTTACAACAAAAAATTAGACAGGGGAATGGATGGAGCCTGAGCTACTTTAGATTAGTTGGGGAAAGTCTGTCCAAGAAGGTGACATTTAAGCAGTGAAAGAATTAAGTTTCCACCCATGTAAAGAGCTGGGGAAAGATACCCCAGGGACAGAGACCAGTCAGTGCAAAGGCCTTATGGATTGAGTGGGCTTGGATTCAAGGATCAGAAGGAGCACTGATGTGGGCAGAGTGAGGTGAGGGGCTGGTGCTGCAGAGGAGGAGGGCTAAAAGGTAGGCAGGGGCTAGATCACATGGGCCTCCTTAGCCAAGGATTAGTTTCTCTCTCTCTCTCCCTTTTTTTTTTTTTTTTAAATAGAAATTCTGAATGTGTTGAAGAGGTTTAGAGGGATTTAAAATATAGGAAGTAACAAGGTATGACTTAGATTTACTAAAGATCTCTCTAGGAGCTGATGGAGTGACAGTCTGTAGGGAACAAGAGCAGAAGCTCTATTCTCCTCAGCAGATAGTAGGCACCTTTCAAGGATGAGGAAATTGAGGCCCAGAGAGCTGACATGATCTGTCCCGGCCCACTCCATTTTGGAGTTTTGCTTCCCAGACCAGTGTCCCTTTGTGACTATTCATTCTCTAACCGAGGCACAACTGACCAGGCTCCAGGTGAAGCTTCTTGGGCTGGTTTGTAAAGCAGGCGAAGACCCTGGGACAGCCAGGTACCCACCCTTGATGATGCTCCGGCTCCACCACAGGTCCTGCTGAGCCCAGCTCATGGTTTATCCAGGTCATACCAGTCTGGTCTGTCACAATAAGAAGTGGGGGAGCATTGAAAGAAAACAAGGTTCCTGGCTGGGCCTGGTGGCTCATGCCTGTAATCCCAGCACTTTGGAAGGCCGAGGCAGGTGGATCACGAGGTCAGGAGTTCAAGACCAGCTTGGCCAAGATGGTGAAATCTACTAAAAACACGAAAATTAGCTCGGCATGGTGGTACGCACTTATAATCCCAGCTACTTGGGAGGCTGAGGCAGAGACTTGCTTGAACCTGGGAGGTGGAGGTTGCAGTGAGCTGAGATCAAGCCACTGCACTCTAGCCTGGGTGAGAGAGTGAGATGCCATCTCAGAAAAAAAAGAAAAAAAAAAAGAAAGAAAACAAGGTTCCCTGGGAGCTTTTGCAGATGTTGGCATGAATTCCTAAGCCCCCAAATTTGTCTTATTCTCCTTTCTTCTTCCCCAACATCTAGTCCATCAGCAAATCCTTCTCAATCTTCAAACATTTGCTGACTCTGACCCCTTTTCTCCAGGGCCACCAGGAAGCACACCTTCAGGAAGCACCTTTTCTGTTCTATCCCAAAGGGCACCATCACATACACTATAATACGGATCATGACCCCTGGAGTCATGTGGAATTTCTACATCTCTCCCTCCCCACTGCGGCTACCCTCCTCCAGCAACCATCCTGTCTCTCACAAATATTAGGGCAGCTGAGACCCAGGTCTTAAGCAAGTTAAGACCCAGGCCAGCAGGGGCCTCACAGGTAGAATGAAGGCAATGTGGTGGGATTTGGGGCTTACCCTGAACAGGCAGTAAGGGCATTCTGGGTACAAGGGAGGGGTTACTCTGTAAGTAGAGGTGGGAGAAAGAGAAGAATATTTCTATGTGCTTCAGGCAACAGGTTTTTGCTTTATTGAAAGAACCCTTCCTCCTGCCAATTTTGGGGCTGGGGGGAAATGGCTCGATGGGTCCTGGGAGTGCTGCTGAGGTGATCTGGGCTGTCAGAAATTTTTCTCCACAGCTTGGAAAAAGAGGAGGATGTAAGACTCTGGATGAAGCTGAGAGATCTTTCCATGCTTGGGAACCCGAGAGACCACAGAAACATGAGCTTTGGGAGACTCCAAAGCCTCAGACCCCCTTCTAAGCTAGCACTGAATTTTGATTGGCTGTCTTTGCCTGCCTCAGTTTGTTCCTCCTCCTGATTGGTCAGCTTCTTCCGCCCATGGCAGAGCCCTGCTCCAGCCGCCAGGTCCTCCCATCTGCCACAGTGTCACCTGGGATTGGCTGGCCTCTGAAAGTCCAGGCTGGCTTGGCTCTTGCCATCATCAGATTCTTCCTCATTAAACAAATGAATCACAATTCTAATTAATTTGAGCAACAGAATTTATGTAACTACTCCCAGCAGGATGTCTGCTCTCAGTCGGTAGCAAGATTAATTCCTCTCTCTGGAAAATTCCAGCTTTGCTGGTCAATAAACCTTAATGATGACTGAAATCTCCCATCTGTCTCTGCTCAGGGCAGGTAACCCCTGTTAAGCAGACACCCAATTGGCTCGAGGCAATACCCCAGGCACCAGCAGGACAAGGACAATGATCTCCCAGACTAGACGTGTCCTGAGCCACATGGAGCACACAGTAGGTGCTTACTTAAGGACAGGGGTTGCCCATTCCAGGGAAGTTCTGAACCACTTAAAGCCCTCAGGAGGTGTTCAGTGCCGAGTTGTGGAATAATGAAAGGGAGTGTGTGTCACTCAGATACCTACCAATGGTCTCAAGATCCAAGCAAGCTTCTCCAGCTCTTTCCAGCCTTTGCTCCCCCTATTTCCCATGACTGTAACCCAATTCTGTCTTTTTACTATTTTGAACTTTCCAGACTCAGAAATTTGGTTCTTAATGTTTCCTGCCCTTGAACTGTCCATCCCAGCCCTCTCTCTCCAAAACGACTTCATGCTGGCTGCATGGGAGGGAGGGGTAGCCAAGCACAAAGTGTTCCAGAATTAGTGCTAATTCTGACACTGCCACTTACTCATTGTACTTCACCTCTCTGTTCTTAACCTTTCTCTCATATGTAAACCACACGAGGTTCTTGGGGAAAATTAAATAAGAAAACATGGTGAAAAGGTATTGCACGGTGCTTGACTCATTTAATTAGTGACAGTGTTTTAGGTAATGGAGATTACCTGCTCAAGGCAGACAAGATTCCTGCTCCCAGAGAGTTTAATTTCTAGGAGACAAGCACGGGAGCAAACATGTAAGATAATCTTAGTTAGGGATCAGTGCTCAGCAAAAATAAAATAGAAAAATGTATGGAAAGAGACGGAGGGGAGTGAGGAACTCTTTGAGGAGGTGTCACTCTTCAGACTCAAATGACAAGAAGGAACTAACCACATGAAATCTGGGGGAATGACATTCTAGAAAGAGGGAAAAGAAATTGCTGCTAAGAAGATGTGGGTGTGTTAAAAAAGAGAGAAAAAAAAAAATTGCAAAGGCCCTGAGGTACGATTGAGCTGCTCATTGGAGGCTTTTGCTCTGTGTCTTGTAGGTGAATGGGGTAAGGTTTGGTAGGACTGAAAAACTCATCCAGCCACCTATCTAGGGGGTGTGAGGGTAAAGATGTGGACCCAGGTCTTCTGCCCTTAAGAGCAGAGTGCTTGTCACTACAGCACAAAGAAGGTGTAAGAGAAAGGAATAGTGAGTGGGAGGTGGTGAGGGAGGAACAGACTGCCTTGTCCTCCACTAGATCTAAATCTGTCTCCTTCTGACGGTTGGCAGGATTATAGAATCTGGTTCCCATGAGGGCCTCCACCTCCGCTGGCCTAAGCTGTCAGTGGCAGAAAGCACCGGCCCTAACAGCCCCCTCACTAGGTCAGCTGCGATTCCTTCTTCATTTCCTACAGGGAAAACCCAAAACTTTTATAATATGGGATTTCTTTTTTCTCATGATAATCATGTTCATTGTAGAAAATTTTAAAAAGTGATTAAAAATCAGCCAGAATTCCAATTTCTGGAAATTTTGGTGTCTTTCTGCAAAGTTCCTATGCACATAGATACTTTATAAAATTTGAACATACTGCATATACAGTTTTGAAATATGCCTTTTTCCTTCTGCTGTGAAAAAAGGTCTTCAAATGCCTTTCAACAGCTACACAATAGTTCACTACATGAACCAACTAAAATCTAACTATTTTCGGCTTTTTATTATAAATAACACAAAGAACCCCGAGTCTTTGTTACATAATGTCCTAATAGAGTAGGGAAAGTGCTCTCCAATCTGGTGCTATGTCCTGTGCCCAGGGAAACCATTTTTTTTTTTTTTTTCTGAGATGGAGTCTTGCTCTATTGTCCAAGCTGGAGTGCAGTGGTGCGATCTCAGCTCATTGCAACCTCTGCCTCCTGGGGTCCAGCTATTCTCCTGCCTCAGTCTCCCAAGTAGCTGGGATTACAGGTGTGTGTCACCACACTCGGCTAATTTTTGTATGTTTAGTAAAGCTAGGGTTTTGCTATGTTGGCCAGGCTGGTCCATCTTCTTAGTTGGAGGGAACAGGGGCATCTACACTCCCAAACGCATTGCCCTTGTATAGCATAGTCTGCTGTCGATTTCTTCTGAGAAATGAAGATTTTTGCACTTCTCCCGAATTTACCTTCATTCTTAGCCGCTCCTTGTCATTGTGATCCCAGAAAGGATACAATGGGGAAAAACGGTAGAAAGAAGAGGGGCTGTCATTTGATGCTACATTCGGCAACAAACATATTGCAGAGGCGTGAATATTCTTTTAACAATATTTTTATTAAATAGCAAATTGTAGGCGAGAGGGCCAGGATCAGGCCCTGGTCTCAGTATGCCAGAATCTAAGGTGACTGTGTTTGGTTTCTGCAGGGGCCTGCCATGGAGGCAGGCATGGGAGGCAGGAGTCAGTAGTTCTAATGATTGGAGGGTGTTGGGGGTAAAGTGGGGTGGGCCATCTATAGTAGGCCTGGGGAAGCTGGCAGCTGGGGGGTGATTGGGAAAGCACTTGAGGACCTGGGTGGGGGGCCAACATTCATTCACAGTGTGGCCAGGAGGGTGGTCTGCCTCCGGTGTGTGGCTGGCGCTCAGGTTAAAGCTCCTCCTTGGCATCATGTCTCCAGTTACCGGCTTGGCCTGAAAAAAAAAAATCAAACCAGAGAGAAAGGCACAGGAGAAGAGACAATGAGGAGAACAGTGTAAAGATGAGAAAAAGGAGACAGAGGGAAAAATGTCCATGTAGGGAAGCAGGTGCTTTGACAAGTGCAATCTTTCTGGTAGACGTTTAAGCAGCAAGAGGCACTTTTGGTCCTGGGCAAGCTTATTACACATAGCTGATGAGCTCTCAAGGGCCAATGACAAGTATTCAGATACCCAATGGGTCGGGAAAATGGCATCTGTCAGCTCTACTGACTACAGACCCTGCCTCTAAACTGATTTGGTGCCCTGTTTCTGCAAATCAATTTCCCAAACTTTCTGAGAGCTGATTATTTCTCAGTGGAGCAGACAATGACAAACTAGTGCCAGGGAACAGTCCTCTCAGGCTCCCAGAAATGCTGGGGAGGGAGGGAGGAGTGGAAAACATTTTGGTGGCCTGGGCTAGAGTCCTGGGGGGAGGGAAGGGATGGGGAGAAAGAATATGGGGAAAAGAAAGGAGGAGAGGGGTGGGTATGGGCGAAAGAGTTCCAGCCTTCTTACCCATGTTCACCTCTTGTTGCCAAATACTTATACTGTCTTCTTTTCAGCCTGCAGGAAATGGTATTCACTGGGAAAGCCCAGCAGTCATTGTCAACTTCTGAGGCATATGAATGAGGTACAGAGGGGAGGCCATGGTGTTGGTTGGGAAAACCAAGAAGGCAGCAAATGCAGGGGACTCAATCTTAGTATGGGAACACATCTCCATCCAACTTGGTGAGAACAGAGTATTTCAAAAGGACCTTTTATCAGGAAACTACAGAAAAGAATCAAAACAAGCCATAAGTGGGGTTACAGGGCATTCTTCAGTTTCAATAGCTTTTTCCTCTCCACCTAACCCTGTTTGGGTGGACCAAAATGCTTCCTCTTATTTTTAGACAGGGTCTCATTCTGTTGCCCAGGTTGGAGTGCAATGGTGTGATCTTGGCTCACTGCAGCCTCCACCTCCCTGGTTCAAGTGATTCTTGTGCCTCAGCCTTCCAAGTAGCTGAGTAGCTGGGATTACAGTCGCCTGCCACCACACCCAACTAATTTTTGTATTTTTGGTAGATATGGGGTCTTGCCATATTGGCCAGGCTGGTCTCGAACACCTGTCCTCAATCTACCTGTCTCAGCCTCCCAAAATGCTGGGATTACAAGCGTGAGCCTCTGTATTTGGCCATCCTCTGTCTTTTGAGGTCACACTCAGGAAGCCTTTCTGGTAAGCAGCCACTTCCCCTCACCCTCCAATCTCTCCCTTTGGCTGAAGGGTGTCTCTCCTTCCTTCCTTTTGAGCATCCTCCTGGCTCTGCATCCTGGTAGTGCTTCTTTACTCTGGCCCTTTCCCTGACATTCACAATTAACTAGCCTGTGGCAATCTGGGTTCTCCCCTTCTTGAGGCAGGGCATCTTCCACAATATCCAAAAGCAAAGGGGTTGAAAGATAATGGGCAATCAATCCTCTTCTTATGAAAAAGCAACTGAACCCCAAGATTAGGAAGAGACTCACCCAGGATCACAGAATGATGGAATGGCACGTGTGGGGGTGGAATCCAGCCAGTGCAGCCTACCTAACACTACTATTAATGAAACCCAGTAGTAGGTACTAAGCCTTTTCCTCTTCCCCGTCCAAAGGCTCTAACCTGTGTGTGGGTCTAGGCTGACCCTACTGTCCCCTCCCCATTCCCCCTGCCTACGATGCCCAGGCCCTGGTGGTGAGACCAGCAGCTGTGGGCAGCAGGATCTTCTCCACTAGCTCAAATACCGGGAGCAGTAGGCCTGCCCTCCAACGTTTGTGTCGGGGGTAGTCCTCATTGGCCCAGCAGAAGTGATTGACAGGTCAGTAGCCCAGTGAATGATGAGTCTGGGAAGCGTGGTGGCCGTTACCAGTCAGTCCTCACATCGCGAGATCCTGGGGTAACGGTTTTATTTATTTTTTTCCAAAGTTGATTTAGCCGTTTATCACACTCAAAACCCAGCGTCTTCTCAGTAACGGGTGAAAAGCAATTTTCTCCCCCAAAGAAGAATACATTTGGGGCTCTAAAAGTACAAACGAACCCTTCAACAGAAAATGAGAGTGTCATATTGAATCACTTGATAAAGGGGGTTTTGCTTTGCTAAACAGTTGGTGGGCAAGTGAGTGGGCAGGAAGGAGGGAAAAGGTGGTCGGGAGTCGGAGAATGGGGACAGAGGAGTCAGGCCGCAGAAGGCTGGAGTCAGAATTGCTTATTGGAGCTCTTGTAATGTGTGTGAAATGCTGTGGCCATTCTTGGGGTTTGGATAGGTTCTGGAGCCTGGGGGGAAGTGATGGGGTTACTTCTGGGGACTCTAAAGGTCCAGGAATCGGGGGCTAAACTGGCAGTGGGGAGGTGAGGCAGTGTTTTTGCCCACAGAAATGGCTTCTCTGAAAGGGCATTTTAGTAAGAGCTGGCTTGGGTGATGAAAAGGGTAGCCTGGACCATGAGACAATTCCTGAGAGAAGCTAGGGATGGTAGGAGCACAGAGATGGAGTGGTCCATCCTTGAAGGGTCTAGTCACATAAGATGTGGCCTCTGGAAGAATGACAGTGGATTATCTCATAACCGATTAGAGGATGAAGTCGGAGATAGAGATGAGACAGGGAGTTGAGAGATGCAAAGTTTGACAAAGGAAAGAGTCACAGGGACTGACAGCTGGAGTCCCAGAAAGGCTGAGCAAAAGCATGCTTGGTACATAGCTGTCACTCAGTAAGTGCTAGCTATTACTCTTGCTCCCCTTGGAAGGGTAGGACAGGGGTGATTCGAGTCTAGTAGTTCAAAGGTAATGGAAGAAGTGAGTGGAGAAGTAAAAGAGTGCCAGGAAAATAGGCCATTCCAGTTGTCTGCTTGTCTCCCCCCTGTGATTACGAGAATTGCGAAGCCACTCCTCCATTGAGGGAATGAGAGGGAAGAATTGAACTAAAGAGAATGGGTGCTGGTATGTACTGGAGCTGGAAACCCAAAGGATGGGAAGTAGGAACGAGGAGAGGCTGCCCTTCCAAGTGTCTTAAATAGAGCCTGTTAGAAGTGAGGTGAAAGAGGAGGGAACAAATGAGAACTAGAATGGGTTGTGGCATGGTTAGACCCTGGGTGAACTGTGTGTGGTATACATAACAGTTGTAATGATTGCTAGGGTGGGGTCATGGGGAAGAGCCCTCCTAGTTGTCTCTCCTGGGAAAAGGGAATGGTCGTGAGATTCAAGACTCCACTGGAAGTTCTCAACAATCATTGTCACAAGTGTCAACTGACTCAGGGACCACTAGTTTTTAGGGAAGAGAGGAAAAGACTCTTAAAAATTTTCTATTTGACTAGGAGGGTGTTTACCAGCTGAGGCTCCTGAATAGAGAGTGCATAGTACAGTTCATGAAGGTTCTGAACAGAAAAAATGAAACTCCTGATGTCAATACTCCATTTCCCTTGTCCTTGTCTACCCTCACTAACGTGTGCTCTCTTTTTAGCAAGTCATTGAATCATCGGCATTTGTTGGGCATCTCTGAGGTAGCTAAGAGAAAGTGACGTTGAAGGAGTGCAAAGAATGCTTTTGAGTCCCCAAATTACGTTGAAACCTGTATCTCTGGGGAATCAACAGACTCTCTTTGAGTAACAATTGAAATGCAAAGCCAGCTGGCCTAGCCTACCACCTAAGGAACTGTCTGGGGGAAAAAGCAAGTGGGGAGAGGGGAAGATAAGGTAAACCAGAGAGAGAAAGGGGAGACACAGAGAAGGCAGAGACACGATGGAGGGATCAGTGACAGCAGAGGCTGAGGCTGGACAAAGAGCTTAGGAAAGACAGCTCTTGAATGAGCTAGTTAACTTACTTGCCACATCTTCGAAGTCTTTTCTATTTCCACTGAATATGGTTCTACTAATTTACAAAGAAAATTTATATAGTCTTCTGAGATTCCAGAAAGCACTGCATTTACTAACTTCTGCCCACTTTATGTAAACGGTTCAGAATTTTGTTATAGCTCCCCGGCAACTCCTGATGATCTTGCTCACAGAGTCCAGATCTGCGTGGGGCAGATGAGCCTAGGCAGTGGGGTGCTTGTGGAAGCCAAAGCTTGGGAGTTAGTTTCTGGAAGATGCCCTCATTTGGATCCATAGATCAAGGGCCAAACAAGCAATTGGATGGGAGTGGAGTGAGTCTCCTTGTTAGCATGCTGGGATGTGGCATGACAGTGGCATCACAGTTGAGGCACTAAGGTGGAAATAATAGCATCATTGTTGAGGCTGTTGGCCTTGCAGTGGAGAGAATCTTCTGATGGAGCACGGTAGTGGGGAGTGAGGGTAAACTGGTCCTCAATGAGGGCTAGTTTCTGATGATCGTGGGTGTTTTACTCAGAGTCAGTGACTCGAAACATTTCTGGTAATCTGAGTAAGGTTGCAGGCAAGGGGCTGGGGGGAAAGTAGGGCCTGGGTAAACAAGGCACAGCTGGGTCAAATGGAATTTCTATTTCTAAGGCCTTGAGGAATCGCCACACTGTCTTCCACAATGGTTGAACTAATTTACACTCCCACCAACAGTGTAAAAGTGTTCCTATTTCTCCACATCCTCTCCAGCATCTGTTTTCTCCAGATTTTTTAATGATCGCCATTCTAACTGGAGTGAGATGGTATCTCAATGTGGTTTTGATTTGCATCTCTCTAATGACCAGTGATGATGAGCATTTTTTCATATGTTTGTTGGCCTCATGTATGTCTTTTTTTGTAAAGTGTCTGTTCATATCCTTTACCCATTTTTGAATGGGCTTGTTTGAAAAATGAGAACACATGGACGCAGGGAAGGGAGTACTACACACTGGGGTCTATTGGGGGGAATAGGGGAGGGACAGCGGCGGGGCGGGGGAGCTGGGGAGGGATAGCCTGGGGAGAAATGCCAAATGTCAGTGAAGGGGAAGAAGGCAGCAAAACACACTGCCATGTGTGTACCTATGCAACTATCTTGCATGTTCTGCACATGTACCCCAAAAGCTAAAATGCATTAAAAAAAAAAAAAGGCACAGCTACTGAGCAGGGCCCTGAAGTCAACTGTTGCTAGTCTGGAAAGGCACTCTCCCCTCCCCTCAGAAGGAAATCAAACAGGCCTGAGAGGCTCATGGGTAAAGTCAGAGATGGAGAAGAGGAGATAAACAGATGACAAACAAGTGTGATGGGGAATACTGAGATGTAGCAGGCCACTGAGCTGACTCTTCAGATCATCTCAGGATGTCTCTTTCTGCTCCTACTTCCCCCTGAGATGCTTCTAATAAAACACCAAGGGTGATTAGAATGGATCCGGGGTTTGGGGCTTCAGAAAATGGCTGATGTCATTTATAGTACTGACTTCTGCCAAACGCTCTCCATGCTTTGGAAGTTTGTGTGCCACAGAATGTGCGTTTTCAGCTCGGGAGGGTAATTGTCCTGTGCAGTGGCCTTGTCTTGGTGACTCCAAATATGAGACATGTCCAGGAGGAGGAGGGTGGTTACTGGCACACTGGAAACTAGTTATCCCTTGATTTCATGGACTTTTTCTCCAAGTTATTCCCTTCTGCCAGTGGGAAGTGGTGACAGGGTCTGATGGTCACCAGGAGGCTTTGAGGAGGTTTGGGGAGAAGGCAGGCAGGCAGAGAAACCCAGCTGTTGGCAGGAGGGCAGGTGGGCGCATGAGGCCCCTACCTTCTTCTGCCCATCCCGGGCCGTGTTCTGTAGCTGGACTTTCTGTGAGATTCAACTTCCCGTCCTTCCCAGCCCCCTAGGCCTGCTACCTGTTGTGTGTCTCACAGTAAAGTGAGGAGCAGGGAGCAGGAGAGGAGGAAAGAACGGGGGAGACAGGGATGGGGAGAAATGACATTTGCAGAGATGGAAAGACAGATCCACTCAACAGTGATGCTGCCTCTACGTCTCTTCTGTTGCTTTTCTGCATAAATGATTATGCTTGTTTTCAAGGGCTGTTTATGTCCCCCATCAAGGATTTAGAGCCCAACCATCATACTTTCTGACCTAAACTTGCTCAACTTGCATTCGGTGCCCCTACTTGCTAAAAATAGGTCCCTCGACTTATGAAGAGTTGAAGTGATTCAGAGACAAGGGGTTTTCAGTAGTTCCTAGACAATGTGAGGGCACTCCTGAGAGGTAAACACTGCCAGCTGCCCCCTTCCCCTTCCATGTGGGCAAATACAGGGAACAGAGGGGAGGAGAGAAAATGAGGAGTAGGAGGAGGCAGGAAGGAGTTGTGAGTCCTCACTGTCTCCAAATCTGCTGAAGTAGCCTGGTTGAGGGAGGGGAGAAGAGCGTGGAGGAAGGTGGACAGGGCTGGATGGAAGAGGTGACGAGAATACAATGGGGATGCCTGAGGGTAAGGTTGAAGAGGTGTCTCCCTGTCACTTTGCTTCTTGGATAGTTGTGTTACGTAATGGTTTAGGCTGCCTCTAGGCCACCAGACATGAGATGAGACTCCTGATCCCCATCTGAGTACCGTGAATTATTTCTTCTACTTGTGGCATAATTGGAACTTGACCCTTTTAAGATTCAGGAGTGAGGTTGGGTGAATTGTTTTCCTATTTAGGGATGGGAGGAACACCATCTAATGTGTTGTAAGATTCAAAAAGAATCTTTTTTTGACTCTTGCCTATTTAGGGATGGAACACCATCTAATGTGTTGTAAGATTCAGAAACTCCCCATCCTCTACTGTTGCCCTTCCCTGACCCCAGCCCTCTCTTTTTCCTCCAAAGCCCCCTCTGATGAGATGCATGTAACGGGCAGGAGGGAAGAGGCTGCAAAGTTGTCTGCCAGCATTATTGCTGCGGGAGCGAGCTTACTCCTTTGCACCGCGGCAGCCTACGACAAGACTGGAATTTTTTAGAAGGAACTTTTACAGGGAAACAAAGGTTAAAAGAATATGAAATAAGATGATGTAAAAGAATTAGAGCCAACAGAGCTTTGGACTGGCTGGCAACCTGCCGTGATCCTAAACTTTGCCATTAGCCATTTGGCTTTATAGATTCCCCCACCCGTTCTCATCTTGGTCTTGTGGAGATGGATTCTTTGCAGAGCCTTGGGGTTGCCTCCTACGCTCTTTACTCTCCGTAAGTGGGGCAGGGCTTTTCCATCTCACCTCCTGTCTCTTTCCTGCGTTTTGGGGTTCTGCACTCTAGCCCAGATCTCTTGTCTTGGTTGATTAGTTGGGGCGCGAAGCCTTCTGATTTTCTAGTTTCAACTTGTGTGATGGCCATTTTGGGGGTGGGGTGAGGACTTAGGCTGTGCACAGAGATGTCAGGTGACTAGCAAAGGAAATAATGCTGTTTGAGTTTGAGGCTCACGTTTTATCTCTGTTCTCCTTTTGAAAACTCCTAAGATGCCCTCTCCTGTGACTTCTTTGTTTTTCCCATGGTTACAGAATCCAATCTTTATAGTTTTACCAAATTAATACTAAAAGCAAATTATTGTTGAAAAGAATTTTTCTCAAAGGAAAATAAGGGTTATTTCTTCACAAAGAGCCTAATAATACAGACTAAACCTCAAAGAAAATGTGAACACACTCAATATTTAATCTAAAAGTATATGTTAGGGATAGTAATATGATATACAAATACAAGAATGAATTTGTGCAAATGCTAAAATGGTAGGCAGGTCGGTGGGAGGAGAGCGGGGTGGGACTGCCTCAGCCAGCTCTGGAGTGCAGCGGTCCCAGCAGGCATCTCCTTGGATGTTGGCAGGCTTATGGATGTGTGGCCTTGGCTTCAGTAGGTCTTCCAGGGCAATAGGTGAGGGATGTGGGTGGCAGAGTCTGAAGTCTGAGTGACTCCAGAATGGCTAAGGTACTATGTGATGGGGTGCCCAACCCCTGAGGGGGGTCAGTGAGCCTGAGGAAGGCTTCACGGTGATGCTGAGAACTGAGTCTGAATGGATAGGGGCAAATGAGCTGCAAAGAAAAATTCCTGGGAGCAGACAGAAGAAGGCTGGGGAATGATGTTGCTCTTGAAGTAACCTGTCTGTGTCCTGGCTGGAGGCTAGAGTCATGGGGAACCGTGGCCTCACTAGAAGGCCCTGCCGGAGGCCCCACTGTAGCAGCACCGTGGCGCACACCTCAGAGGCCAAGGCAGTTTCTTTCAGGTCACTGAGTCGTTGATGGAATGAGAGTCATGATGGTGGCGTGGGGGTAATTTACTAAAAAAATACAGTATGTCCCTGGGCATGCACACCTTTTTAGGAAGGATGAGCAATGAAGACGCGTGTCTGTGCCTGATCCTGTGGGGTGCTTAAGTAAAGGGCACTTTTGGCACCACATCCTCTCACTTTCTCTAGTTCTCCAGCTCTTCCCCCTACCAGCTGGCTCCTCTCTGATATCAGGTTACATGAGGTCAATTGACCAGCAAGGGAAGACAGTGAGGAAAAAGACTGCTTCATTGAGGAACAATAGAAGAAGAAATCTTCCAGTCTGGAATTGTAAATGGAACCACTGAGGGGAAAAGCGGCTTCCACAGACTAGATAACACATTAAAGAGGCAGTTCAGGGAAAGGGCCCGGGGCAGGGTCACAGGGGCCGTGGCCTTCAGCAGGCTGGAGTCTAAGGTGCCTATGTTTGGCTGCTGCAACAGACCTAATAGACCTCTCGAGTTTGTCAGGGAAGTATTGGAAAGATCTCTGAACGGGGCCCACAGGGTTATGTATTTGGCCTTCCTGGGGATGCTTCCTAGGGAAGTATCTTGGCAACTAGAACAATGCAATGGTAGGAAGTACTAGGGACCATCTTCTCTCCACACCGCCTGTGTGGCTTTGTGAGGCTACCAGAGGCTTAGGGGGTTTGTAAAAACACTTCCAAATCTCTAA